TGTAGATACATAAAATCAAGTAAAAAGAGATGAATACATAAGTACGAAATGCTGGTGGCGTGATTATCCAAAGGATATAAGCGAGGTACTAGAAATCTCCAGCTCTCTAATAGCACAGATTTCGTGCTTTATGCCCAACCGTTCGAGAACTACAAACATGTTTTATAATGGGGCTCCTCAGACAATAGAAAAATATTAGGAAATAAGCGAAAAACTAAGCGAAATTCGAAGCGACGATTTTTTCGTGTTTATAAGAACTCCCAATATTACTTACTCAACCCCAGGCTATCCTCCTTATCGGCGAGTTGGCCCACTCCGCTGTGACGAGGACGATATGGAAAGTCCCCGAGCGTCGGAAAGGTCTCACGTGGTCTCTCGCACGTGGCCAGTCAATCCCCGCCCGGACAATTCTCCGGATTAAAAACCATTTCCAAGTGAGCTTCTCGGCTGCGCTGTACTCCCTCGTGGCGGGAGGATTGAGACGTTTCATAGACTCCGAGTTGAAGCACAACGGTACCAAAATTCCCGCCATCATTCCAACCGTGACCCCTGTTCCGCCGGGTGGAAGACATCCCGACAGAATGGGTAACCAGTTGTGAGTTTCAATTTAATTTTTAAATATCTACACTTTAAGAATTCTGGAGATACATTGTTAGCCTGGCTCCAATGCTTTTATTGGGTTTGTGATGGTAAATGTATTTAAATACATCCTCAATAATTTTATTTTACGATTGTTTAACAAGTGTATTATTGCTCTGGTAGTAACAATGTTACCATTGTTACCAAAACAATAGTCAATTTCTTATGGTGGTTTATGGTACACTGGCTACCGGTGATAATCCGGTTATAAAATTTGTCTCTAGCAATGGTCGTCTCCCAGCGTATGTATGCTCTCTGATTTGGACCAAACTAGGGACAATCGATCACATTTGTAATTAGTATGAAATTTGCAAATGGAACTACATATCTGCCAATGCGCAGGTTTGGCGGAGATATTTGCATAAAAATAAGACAAAACGCACCCTCAAGGCCGGCAAATTTTTCGTCTTCCAAATTTGCTGCGCATTTTTCCCGCTTTTGATGCAAATATGTCAACCAAACCTGCGCATTGGGAGATAGTTCCATTTGCAAATTGCATACTAATTATATTTGTGATCGATTGATGCTAGTTTGGTCCAAATCGAAGAGCATACGCTGGGAGACCTCCATTGTCACTGTACCGAAAAATTTAAAAACCTTGGTAAATAATTATTTTCACAGTTCCTTCTGCCTAATTTCTTATGCTACCGGACCCTCCGACCCGGTGGAACGGTTGTACGAAATGCACCACAAACGATATTCCGCCGCGTCAGTTATTGGTAAAAAAAATAATTTATTACAATGGGGGCGCAAACCATGTTCAACCCAGATTATTTTTTTACCATGTTAGTTTGAAATTCAAAGAAAATTTCAGCAACTTATGGGCGCCCCAAGTTCGCGAAAACTAAGCGAAAGTTCGTTTTGTGAACTCGTGGCGCAGATATTGCGGTGGATCGAAGTCAACCGGACAGGATTTCTACGCGCCAAAATCACGTGCCCATTTGATTAGCATTGGAGGCGGGCCGAAATTCAAATCAAATCCATCCGGTTGACTTCGATGCACCGCAATAACATGAAGTTTTCCTTTCGGTGGAAGTGACGCACTAAATATAGTTCAAATGAGTCAATCAAAAATAGTCTGGATTGAACCTGGTTAGTTGTTAGTAAATTTGTTAGTTAATTAATATAATTTAATTTATTTATTTTTGTTCATTTATGTCTGTGATTCCCAACCGGCAAATGTGCTTAAGGGGCCGTTCATAAATTATGTAGCGCGGCAAGGGGGTCTAAGGGTCCAATGACATTGTGATATGTTAGTCATGTTGAAGGGGGGAGGGGGTCAAAAAAATCGGGATTTATCCTCTCCGTAATTTATGGACGGGCCCAAAATCAGGATCAGGCATAAATTTACAGCTTTTTTAATTAGGACACTATCTGTTAACGGCTTTTCTTAATTAGGGCACTAATAATGTTAACAGCTTTTTTAATTAGGACACTATGGATTCGCCCTTCTTGGCAGCCACGTAAACTGGGTGGCACGCCGGGTGAACTCGTATCCATTCGGGTCCCTGACAACGAGCTACTTTCCGGGCGGGTCTTCTCCGGAGTGGAACATTCTCGGGCGGCCCGTTCTACATGAAGCTACAACAAGGCCAGCAAGGTAATATTTATGTTCATATGTCCGTGACACCTCAGTTCAGAAAACCAACGCGGGCAGCAGGGTAATATTTTTATCCGTGTCACTCTAAATAATCCGAGAGCAAGATATAGTCTGAGGGGGGATTCTATTGTGATGGTAAAAATTTGTTACTGGGTGGTAATAAATATATTTGGTCAAAATACACTGTCAAAGTTAAAGTAGGGTGACATGTAAATACACGACTACTCAGAACTGGCAACCGTTTGGTAATCTACCGATTGGTATTATGTTATGTATTCAATTTGTTTCTGAGTGGTACACTTCTCATTAGCCCGACGCAACTGAACGGTAATGCTCGTTATTACCAGTTATTACCAGAGTAAATATTCTATGTGACTCACAATGCAATGATTTACCAGATTATTTACCAGAGTGTATACTGCTGGAAATCTGGCGTAGTCATGCATGCAGATACGTATTTCGTTTATACCGGTCCGTAAGGACTTACTACCGATGTGCAGACCTGGCCAAATTAGTAATTGACAATTACAATTACAATTACAAATTACAAATTAGTAATTGTAATTTGTAATTTCAATTACTTCATTCAAGAAATGTAATTGTAATTGTAATTTGTAATTGAACTAAATGTAATTGATAATTTGTAATTTGTAATTGCACATTTCAACATGGTGTAATTGTAATTCAATTACTTCTTCAATTACAATTACTAAATCACCATCTATCGTGAGTAGAACAAATCAAAATTCAACGTTTTTGTTAAATTTGTCGTATATCATACGTGAACATTTCACTGCCTTTCACTTTTTGAGTTAAAATAAACATTCTTTCGCATTCTCAAATTTTTTTAATTACATCAGAATGCATTACTAGTCTGTACTTTCATGCATAAGGGCCGTATGCATGAAAATAAGTAAATGCTACTAATTACTCAATTGAATTATAAGACAAATTACTAATTATAATTGAGATTTTAAAGAACATTCATCATTAATATTCAAATAATTGCAATACTTGTTCACTCTGAACAATATAAAGGGTGTTAATAAAGTCCGATCCCATGCATTTTTTGGAGCGTGGTTGTTACAAATTCAGCTGGAACTTTTGAACCAGTGAAGTTATTTATTTCAAATTTTTACCATGGGAGGAACAACTAAACGTGTAAGTCATGAGCATCTTAGCGTTGAGATACAAACATTGCATCAGCAGGGGCTTAAACCTACAGAAATTGTGCAAAAATTGGGCTGCAGCCGCAGAACTGTTTGGAAATGGAAGAATAAAAATTTTGTCCACAACAAAAAGCGACCAGGGCGACCCAGAAAGGTGTCACCTACCACAAAAAGAATGATTAAAAACAGACTTTGCAAGAAAACCGGTAGTTCATTACGTAATTGAGCAAGGGAGTTAAATGACTCAAAACGCTATAAAGAGAAGAAGAAGCAAATTAACTGTGTGACCGTGCAAAAATTTGTGAAAACTACGAAGTGGGGTCACACAGCTTACAAACTAACCAAAAAAACCTCTCATGTCACAAAAATATATCGATGACCGTCTGAAATTTGAAGAACTCCTTCAGAAAAGTGCCCATTTGAGTGAAAAAAGACTTGGTGAAGAATTGCGCAGTCACATCCTTTGGACTGACGAATCTATTATTGAACTATATCCAAAATTGAACCAACAAAATGTTCGTTACAGGACAGAAAACAAATCGGATGTACCATCAAGAGCGATCCCAAAATTCGGGCTTAAAGTTATGGTAGCGGGTGGATTTTGTGCACGTTGCGTGACCCCTCTACATATCATACCAAAAGGCCAATCAGTCAATGCAAAGCATTATATGGAAAAAATATTACCTATCTATTTCGATAGCATGGGGAACAAGGAAATATTTCCGAATGAAAGAAAAATAGTTTTCATGCAGGATGGTGCTATAGCCCATACAGCAAAAGCGAGTTTGAGTCTCATCAAGACGCAAGTTTCAACGGTCTGGAGCAAGGGGGTGTGGGCCGCTAACGGCCCAGATTTGAATCCCCTGAAGAACCAGTGGTCCATACTTAAGGAAAATGTATACAAAGAGCCACAACCCCGGACGAGGGAAGAGCTAGTAAAAAAAAGTTCAAGATGTATGGAATTCGATTTCCAGAGGCACATTGGAAAAATTAGCACAGAGCCTTAAACAAAGAGTTGAGGGCATGGTTAAAGTAAATGGTAACAAGACCAAATACTAAGGTAAATATGTCGAACATTTTTTGTAAGTATCACGGGTAGTTTTTTTTTATACTAGCCTTCACTTTTTTACAGGAAAAATGGGATCGGACTTTATTAACACCCTGTACATACTGATAAATGCTTTTACTTGCAAAATATTCCTTGGCAAATTATTTTTTCTAGGTGAACGTTTGGATGTAAAGGCATTTAAGTGAACAAGTATTGAAATTAGTTGTTATTAAACGATGAATTTGCATTAAAAAATCTCAAATGTAATTGTAATTTGCGATGTAATTCAATTACGTGAGAAATGCAGACATACATACGCATCGTGACAAGATGATTTATTATGTAATGTACATAAGTTCGTATGTATGTACGTATCACATCGTAACGAACGAAGAGCACGAGGTTTGGAGGCACATGGCTGAACGAGATGTTGTTATTGAGACCAGCTTTACATACATACGTCAGTTTAGTCAGTCCAAACTCTACTCTGTTCACGAATCTTCCTCAGAGAGACAAAGTTTACGCTCTTACTTACATTCCAGAACTGTCTCAACTTTGTACGTATAAATGTTACGCTCAAGCCGACACGTTCACCCGTCTCATGTCTCATTCCCTCTCTCGCTTGAGTAAAGTATGTATATAAACCCAACTCGCTCATCATGCCGGGTTTCACTAGGAGAAGACTAGGTAAGCAAACTCTTCTCACTATTCGTTTTAGCGTGTGTGTAAACTTATGTAAAGTTTATGCACATGTTAAGTTGTTGGAAATTTGTTTTTTTTGGAAACCTATCCTAAATCCTGTGCTAAGTTAGAAATTCCAAGTTCAAAGTGTGTGTGTGTGTTTACCTGTATTTCGTAAAAAATAAAATTCCTTGCAACGGTTGAAAGAAACAATTCATACCAAGTTTTGTTACCATTTTTGAAAAAAAACTGCTACATACAGAGTGTTGGGCGTCTAAGTGTAAACGAATTTGGCCTTGCATAACCCCGGAACGATTTGTCGTAGCGGGTCAAAATTTTGAGCAGACGAGCATGTTATCCTCAGATAGTTGTGTGCAAAAATTCAACTCTCTACTTTCAAAAATGCCTCCCCCACAGCCTCCAGAAGCTGAGACAATCATTTCAACTTGTTCCAGAAAAAATCTCGCTCGTGTTTACAAAAAATGTTATTTAAATTTTCTGTTGAGGAATAGGAGTGAGTTATTGGTGACAATTGACGAAGCACTATTTTCCCCACAAGTTACTAATTGGGTTCGAGGAGCTTACTACACGACAAATGCCGAAAAAAATTCAAGCAATTTGGTGCTTTTCAGTGAGGAGAACTTTTTAAAACAGTTTATGGTTGTGGGTGCAATGTCGGGTCGTGGTGTCCTCCCACTTATCAAAGTCCCCCAAAAAGTGAAGGAACCTGCAAAGTATTATGTGGACCGTGTATTAAAACCACTTTTAGAATTACATTTTCCTAAATTGTAGGGTAAAAAAATAAATGAGGTGATTTTTTAGAATGACGCAGCGTCTGCAAATACGGCAAAATGGACCCAAGATTATGCAAACGCCCATGAAGTTAGATTGGGGATAAAAAATGTTTTGAATAGTGAAATACCTGTACAATCCTCCGATGTAAGTCAAATGGACTTATTTGGGGTCGGAAACTTGAAAAGAAAAATTTTTCTGCGGAGACCGAATTTTTTAAACGGAGTTTGGAAAGAGTTGAAATGACTGTCTCAGCTTCTGGGGGCTGTGGGGGAGGCATTTTTGAAAGTAGAAAGTTGAATTTTTGCACACAACTATCTGAGGATAATATGCTCGTCTGTTCAAAATTTTGACCCGCTACGACAAATTGTTCCGGGGTTATGCAAGGCCAAATTCGTTTACACTTAGACGCCCAACCCATCTGTATCTACATTTGAACGTTATCCGAAACAATTAATATTTTATCAGTTTGAACAAGTTTTTAATAAATTTTTCAGAAATTTGCGGGGTTTCAAAAACTGCATAATTCACATAATTTCATTTTCAGGATGGCTGGAAACCAGGAAAATTTTGATTCCAAGAATACCTCGACTTACAATGGGACTCCAGAATCGCCACCACGTGTCGACACAGAACTTGGGCGACGTCGACACTCCTCGTCGCCAATACCGCTCGTCCGAAGATCACATGACGAGAGTGACGCTGACGAGGAGGAAAGCAAAAGGGACAAAAAATTTGTCCGATTTGTCGACACGCTTGGCCTGCAGTTGACCAGCGTCAAACTTTTTCATCACGACGAACTCCCCAACGTGCCAGAGAGTGCGTTCAAGTAATAATTATTGCAGGGTAGGGAAGCAAGCCGGCTTTGTAACTTTTTAAAATTACGCATAGTAATTTTGAAAATATTATTTGCAAAATTTCTAACTTTGTTTTCCATAACTTTGCTCCATTTATACGGGATAAACTTGTCGGAGTAAAAAATCCTGGCTAACTTAATTTCCTTAATTATTTAAAAACCTATTCACACCGGCCTTGGTAACTTTGTAAAATCCGTAAATTACGCCAACTTTTACAGAATTTTGCCAATAGATAGTTCGAAGGAAAATTAGGTAACCAATTTGTATAAACTTACATATGTCCCCAGATAAACATATTTTTATTTGAGTTTGTAAAATTATTTTACAGAAAGTAGAACGGATTTTACAAGTTACAAAAGACTGCGTGAATATCTTCAATGTTAAATTTCACAAAATATGCACTATGCAACTACAAAAATGTGTATACAATACACACTCTTTCCCCACCGTTAATTCCATGCTCGCAATTTTATCAAAATTATTAAGTTACACAGCTGGCGTGAATTGGGTTACATAGTTTATAGCTTATTTTATGAATTTATTTCCCTCCACTTTTCAGTCATCTCTCATTGACATCAAGAACTTCGTCTCCCCCGAAACAGAGTGACGTCCTCCTCCCCACGTTCCGCCAGCCGGGCACCCTCGCCAACTTTATTGTTCGTCTGTCCGAGCAAAAAGTTCTGCTCGAATCGTGTCAGGCGTCAGTAAAAAATATCTAGTGCCGCCTAAGTTCCCGGGAGAGAAATAAGAGCTTTTTAACTCCGTTGTTAATAATTGAAAAAAAAATATTATAATAAAAATTTTCAAAATTTCCTAGATCTGCGGAGGACTCGGTGACCGTGCTGTCCGGAGAGGTTAAAGTGGTCAACGTCTGGTTTCACAAGGCAGTCTGGGTCAGATACTCGTACGATGGGTGGGCATCCTTTGCAGAAATTCAGGTAAGTGTATACACATCTTCGCGTTGTCATATGCACTTAAATAATAACCTCTGACCCATTTCGAATTCAATTGGGCAATAAAATTAAAATGGGTAAAATTACAATTTTCAGAAGATTAACCCAAGACCAGGTTTTATTAATTTAGTAGTCTTTTACTATTTCGTGGATTTAGAAATTGCCAATATAAAGTCATATGCCTAAATGGTGGACATAAAATTTGTAAATTCCGTAAAATTCTACAAAATTTTACAAAATTTTACAAATATTTCAAAGGAAAATTAGGTTACAAGTTTTTGTACACTTGTTCAGATCAATGCCTTCCATTTTTTGTAAAAGTGTGCATACAAAGCGCACGGATTTCACAAGGCCTGCGTGTCTTACCAGTTACACTAAAATTATAAACTTTGCCCGATTCTGTAGAATTCCATCTAAACTTAGAAAACGCCAATTTTTGCAAATGTAAATAAATATGTTAAAAACTTACCAAAATTAATAACCTTTTTCCTCTGATTTTAATTTGTAGGCCACCCACAAGCCCGACCTACACACGGGATGGACCGACACGTTTTTATTTCGGTTGCCACTCCTCCCCCGGAAGGATACTCGACCTCCGTGGGACACTTTGCAATTTGCGATCCGTTACCACACCCACGGAAATATTTATTGGGACAATAATTACACCCACAACTACAGACTGCAACTCTTCCACTGAAAGTATGTAAATATATTCACGTCAACTTTTTTTTATTTTGCATACTCTTAAAAATAATGTCACCATTTTGGAAAGCAGATGCGCTCTGAATCGTAAAATATGCAAAGTACCTATACTAAATCTAGAGTATCGTTATCTTGATAAAGAGTACAGTTTGCTCTGGATTTAGAAGAGTTTACTTAATTAAGACTGCATTTCTTTTCCAAAAAGGGTAACATTATTTTTTAGAGTGTACACTCATACTTATATTTTATCATATTTTATACATGTAAACTTTAAAATCTGAAGGAAATCGCTACTCGAAGAAAACAAAGGAATATTTACGAGTGTCCACCACATCCTTAGCGAAATCTCTAAAATTTAGATTCATGCTATTAACTATTTTTATTTATAAGTTTCCTAAAAAGGATTTTTATAACATCTTAGACCTATCGGAATCTCAACGTTTTAATTTATTGGAACTGTTTTTCCCAGTTTTTTTCCTAATTGCTTAATAAGCTCATTAAATTGTTTTTTAAGACTGACACATACAACGGATCTGGTCTGCAAGGTACAAATATTTATACATACGTATATCGAATTAACATAAATTTACGAAACTAAATTGTATTCATCTTTCTTCTCGTCAACAATTGTACGGAAATTATTCCCTTTCCAACTTTTATAAAACTACGAAGGCTGTTAACATCTACATACATAATATGTAGATATAATATGTAATATGTACATATTATGTACATATCTATTTGTGAAATTAATCCCTATTTTGTTAAGGTAAAGTATGCGTGCCCGAAATAAATTATGTTACATGTATTGTCATCAATGAGTACGGTAATAGGTATTTGCATACATATTTACATGCACGGTACTCATTTTAAAATTTTCAGCAAGTTACATATATATATAGTTTAATAGACGGTTATATTGAAATATGCAGAAAATCACATTTTTGAAACCGTTTTTTCCTTCTAAAAACGTTGAGCTGAGCTGTAACATAAGTTGAGGTGTACAAACACGCAATTAGAAACATCAAACTCAATTTCAGACATATTTTTTACCAGTTACATAGGTTTTATTATTTATTTCTTGATTTATTTATGTTATTCGACTAACACAAGGTTTCTACACTGATAAAAAGTTAAGGGTATTTTTCAAATTTATGTTTCATTCACTATTAAAAACGAATCTCCAGCCAAACTAGATATACAATCATACTTATGATACAAATAAATATGAATATAAATTTAATAATTGTCTCTCGGTAATTCTTAAAATTTTCATAAATCTTCTGAAGAACTTTATTTTAAACGTATAATATTTTTTTAAATTCCGACAAAATTAGGAGTTTACACAATACATAATGCATAAAAACGTAACTTAATAATTATTATTTTTCACAAAAATCTCACTACTTTAAAAATCTCACGAATAAGTTTCACATTTTCATAATAAGCGCATTCATTTTTCCTAAAATTAATACATTGCAATGATAAACAATTGTAATGACGACTAATTCAATAAGTGTAATACATTTCCATTCACGCGTTAAAAATCTTTGCAAAAATTTTGCAAAAAAATTGCAAAATCGTTCCTCAATTAGAAAAAAATCACTCCATCTTCCGCTTGGTTGTTATTATTGCGAGACTATTTCAATAAGTGTAATAAATTTCCATCCATCCACGTAGTAAAAAAATGTTGCGAAAAATTTGCAAAACTTTGCACATCATTTTAGCCAAACTCCATCTTCCGCCTGGTTGGCATTACTGCGACGCGACTTTCTTCGTTGACTTTGACCTTGACCCTGACCCGCCATCTGTTCGAACTGCTTAGTTAATTGGGCTAGCGGGTCACCCATTCCCGACGAGGCGGAGGATGACGCCGAGGAGGTATCCGCACTCGAAGCCCCGCCCACCATGCCGGCCTCGATCTGTTGCGACATCTGCTGGATAACCGCGTACTGATAAGCGATCGTCTGTTCCATTTGTTGCAGGGCGGCGGCCTGCTTCTCTACGTATTTCACGTGCGTGTCCAAATCCGCTTTTAGCTGCGATTCCCGTTTTTTGCATTCCTGTGAAAATTAAATTGATTAATATTTTTTGCACATTATAAAAATAGCCCTTATAAAATATCTATTTATAAAATTGGTATTGAGATTCTCCGGTTGGATTTTTTATAAAGGAAATACACAATACCCAGTCCTTTGTAACCTTGTCAAATTCGTAAACTTACAAACTTTTACAAAATTTTACAAACATGTATTTCTGATTAAAATTTGTTGTTAAATGTTAGCAAATCTTACATATGTAAATTCGCACCACTCGAAATTCATTTACGTAATTAGAATTGTATCGCGTTTGTAGAATTATTTTACAAAATGCACGGATTTTACAAAATTACAAAGGACTGTGTGAATTGGCTCAATAATTTTCCGTCAAACTTGCAAATTAAACAATGCAGATACGATGTACGATTTACATAAATGAATGTTTAACTTGTAAATTACAACTTGTGATAAGCAACTTTTTGAATTATTAGTTTAAACAATGATTGAAAATGTCATTGGATTTAATTTCTTCAATGTCAATTGAAGCATTTGGTAATAAATTTAGTACACACTTTGGTGAATTAAAATTTGAGGAAATTTTGAAATCTTCAAATCTAAAGGAAGTTTGAACCCCTCATTTTTTACTGCAGCAAACATAGTTTTATATAATTCTTTGTTTTCATGTTATGTTTTATGAATGGTTCCTTTTTCCGATTTCCTGTCAAGAAATAGGAAACCACCATCCACAAGGGGCCGTTTATTAAAGATTTCCTCCAAATTATTGCCCCTGCCTATTTGCTACATGCATACACTTTTAGAAAACTGGGATTAAATCATTACTGACAAAAGTGCACATGCATTTCGCCTCTACCGGCTCGGTAATACACTGTAAATAATCTGGGAATAAACATTACCGAAAAGCACAAGAATATGACTATACCAAAGTGGCAATGATAAGTTATACCGTGTTGTAATGGCTTGGTAATAAATTTTTACCATCATGGCAACAAATTTTTACTACCTGGTAAAATATTATTTCCAAATTTATTACCGAGAAATCACTACCTGCATGACTTTACCGGATTATTATCAATCTACCACATTTTTATCTTGTATTTTGAAACTCATCATCTGCAAATCATTCTCATCCTTTACGCAAAGCCCCACACGGCCTCCCAGATGCAAATCCTTTATTTCTTTTTTAATGAAGGAAACAAATTTTCTTACCGTGTGTGACTCTTTGCTGGAGGTGGCCTTTTGCGTGTTGAAAGTTACGCTGTTCGTCTGCTGCCCAAATCCAAACCCACCACCGTTTCCGGCCGCATTTCCGCCCTTAGCTGCTGACCCGGAAGGTGCGAAGAGGCCTTGCTGCTGCTGACCAGCTGCCGGTTTTGGCCTCGGCTTCCCACCACGTCTCCGCCACTCCATGATCCGCTGCTGCTTATCCTGGAGAAAAAAAGTGGATAAAAAATGTGATCCCTTTAAATCCCAAGGATTTCAAGTGTAGACAAAATAAGAAGTGTTTGCTAAGTCGTATCACAACATTTCTTAAATCAATTTTTCCCTATAAAGTTAACAAGTTTAAAGGTGCCGTTTCAAATACGTACGTAATTTCAAAAACGTATATACATAATTTTAGAAATATGTATATCTCATCTCATATTTTTATGAAGTTTACGAATACATATTTTGTGTGGAAAGGAAATTTATGCATACAGATGTATGTATATAAAATTTGTGTAAATGCACGTCAAAATGTGTTACAAAATGTTACAAAAAGGTACAAAAAAGTTTAAAGGTACCGTTTCAAAAGCGTAATTTCAAAAACGTATATGATTTTAGAAATATGTATTTATGTATCATCCTAAATTTTTTTAAGTTTACGAATACATATTTGTGTGGAAATGTACACACGTAAAATTTTTGTACATACATGCACATTAATATTTTTACGACACAATGTTCTGTAAATTTTTGAAGATTCAAGAACACTCTAAATAAAAATGAGTAAAATTTTCCCAACGTTGGGTAAAAAAAGAGGATGACACAACCAAATGGTAAAATTTGTCCAATGTTCTGCAAAATGTGTGCACAAATTCGGACACATTATGCACAACGGTTGAACAAATGTTACCCTTTGATTGTAATTTTTCTTTCTTTTTTACTCAACCTTGAGTAAATGTTACTTATCCTCATTTAGAGTGTGTAAAGATTTATCCTTATTGTCGTTAAAGATTTTCCTTATTATCCTGACAGATTCATCCTTATAGCCAGAACAAAATCAATTATAAATTGCCAACGTTGGAAAATGAAATCAGAACCTTTGTCACCATTTTTCATGAAACTCCACTCAAGAATTTAACATAATGTACATACATATATAACAAAGGTGTATATTTATATACACATCACTAAACGTGCATAAGTATCAGAGGGCGGATATGTATGTATTTCTAACTTTTTCATACCAAATCAGATCGTACTTAAACTTCGTCCACTAACATCCCATCTTAGTAGGATCCCAAAAATTCAAACATAGTTTTACATATTTTACATATTTTGGGGTTTTCGTACATATACATATTTTCATACATATTTTAAAGTTTTTCCCTACATATATGCATATATGCAGATTTCCTTACATATTTCGAGTATTTTTCTAAATATAAATATTTCAATATATATTTCGAGTTTTTTTATGCAAAAATATTTTTCTTCCTTAAGAAATTAAGAATTTCTCAAAATTATCTACATTGTCATGATAATCGCTTGTCAATTCGTGTGAACGATGTGCCAATCCAATTTTCCGCATTTTTCAAGCCAAAAATTACACTAGAAAATCTTGACATGGAACTGGTCTTGCCTTATACGTCATTGAATGAAGATTTAAATGTAATTCTGACATAATTTACTTATAAGAGTGTTAAAAATTTGCATCTTCTCAAATCTAGAATATATATAAGGTTGGAAATTTCTTTTGGAAAATATTTTTTATGTGCATATTTTCGAGATTTTTAAGTACATATTACATACATATTTTGAGGAATTTAAGTACATACATATCCGCCCTATGATAAGTATACATGCGTCACCATTTTTCCATGTTTCTGCAACGTTTAATTTTTTTGCACCATTTTTTTCTCCCCAAATTTCATTCACAAATAAAACGATTACTCACCAGATCAACTCCCTCGCACAAATTCCTCTCCGAAAGGAAGTTATTATTCGCCAAGGCATTTTTGATATAGTATTTTTCACGTTTGCGAACGTCACTCTTCTTCTCTTTCTTAACTTTAACGACTTTATCTCCCTTCCCATCCTTCGTATCACTGCCTCCCTCGCCCCCCTTCTCCCCGTCCCCTGTACCCTTCTTCTTCAAAAGATCGCCACACAAAAGCGAAGACGATTTCGACTTCCATTTCTCCAATTTCAATAAATCCCACATTTTCAAAAAGAAAATTCTTCAAAAATTGACTAACTCAAATTTATCACTTTTATCTATCCCCTCTCCTCAAATCACTAACGCCTTAACACGACCACCCAAAAACTAATGAGCTTTCACATATGATAATAAATAACTTGCTTCACTGACACATTAAATATTTACACAGTTAATTAACAAGTGGGTGGATTGGATGCTCCGTTAACAAATTAATTAACGAAGGAACGCAGACCTCCGTTCGGTTAAGCAGGCAGCAACGCAATGCCAACAGAACGACGACAAGTGCATCATTTATTTGATGACTAGTGCAACAACGGAATGCAATTTGTAAACCGTGTAAGTAAACGACCCCATGCACAAAAATCAAGCCCTCAACTAAAATATATACGTTCCCCTTTTTCTTAAACTGGGTACCTAAACCTTCGTCTTAAGGGGTCCTGCGTAAAGGGTGTCACAAAAAATAGGGTACAAAAATTTGTCTTAAAACTAAAACTGTCAAATTTTCAATGGGTCAAAGTTTCCAGGGTACAAAAAAATTTCCGAAATTTATGTGACACCCTTTATGTCCGATCCATTCCTTTTCAGGATTGAGACAAGGGTAAGTAGATAGATATTTTCTACGTAGTCTTGAGATGGATGGACCCTTTTTCTTCTTCAGGTAGTCAGCCAAACGTCACTTCTTTTCTTAGTTTCGTTTTGTTGGAATGTGTAAATCGTTCGCGTTATATTTTCAGAGCACAAAAGATTAACAACAAAAGTACCTCAGATACCAACCAGTAAACTTCTCAATAACGTCGTCTTCTTTTCTTGGGACAAAAGAGAAATGTGCACACCACACACACTTGTTGCTTACCAAAAAGGTTTGTAGGAGAAGAAAATGTTTAAGGCTTAAACAAGACCTTTATTTTATACTTTTAAACATGGGCACACTAATTAATGTCTGAACAAAATTAGGACAGCGTTTAGTAACGGTGACATTTTTTTACACAAACTGGATAAATTTTACCCGTTTTGTAAAAAATGTAGTTCTATACAATTTCTGGAATAAAATTTAGGTAACCTATGACTCGTTTACTAATCATCAAAATCGTAAAAGTCCGCACATTGCTAATCGTTTGAAAGATCTGGAAATTTATTTTAAAATTCTGTACAGAAAATTTGCAGTCAGTAAGTTGATTAAATAAGTTTTTTAGACTGGTTTCGATGAGTTTCAATTTTAGAAAATTGTCAAAATCTGGAATGTCTATTTTAAGAAAAATATAATTGGGTTAGCTCATTTCTGCAATTTTGTCGTCCAAAATTTTAAACAAATTTCCGCAGGCGAACAATGATTACTGAACAGATACTTTGATAATAAGTTATCAACTCATATACCTTAAGCAATAAATAATTCATCCCAACCTTTTCGACCTAATAAAAATCTGTGCCCAATTTTATTACCACATTTTTAACCGTGTCGTAAAGGGAACAAGTCGTATCCTGCCAGTAAAAGATGCACTTCATACCAAGGAGTCATCTGTCAAGTAGTGTGCACAGTTTTCTTTCTTTTTTTGAAATGTAATGTATATGATCCATTTCCTGTCGTCCCTTTTATTATTAAATAACTAAACTAAACTACACACTACGATCCCTTCTTCTTCTTTGTTCACTCTTTAAGAAACTCGCTCCCTGTGTGAATAAAGAGATGCGATGCGATGAGATTAAGCAGGATCAAGTAAGTGGTACATATTTAGTAGTTGAGTTGGTAGTCAAATCTTACTTACTTATTACCACTACCACACTTGCTTTTATTTTATGATGGAGTCGTGCCACCTCATAAAATTCTGGTATTACATTATCATTCTCGCTCCCCTGTTTTGACTCTGCTTCACTTTTATGATTATCGCCTCCATCCTCCATCCATCCAGAATAAAATACAATGCAATACACAATACACTGATTGATTTCACTAACTCGACTCGAAAACAAGACCACTCTACACTTTGAGGAAGAAGAATGAGCAGGTATTTACACGGAGGGCTAAACGGGATGGATGACACCATTAAGAAAATTAAGACAGTTTCACGTGGTCAATTTAACGGAAAATCAATTAAAGAAGTGGATATTTAAAACTTAAAACAGGTAAAAATCCATTGGTTTTCACGAAAAAAATTGTGCAAGAAATTGTTTTTTGTTACAGGCGAATTTTTTGCACGAGTACAGCAGAAGCAGGAAACTAGCGACAAAATTAGCAACCATCTAGCGAAAAAATCGCACAGCTAATTGCAACTATCATACAAAGGGTGGTTAGGTGAGCCCTTAATTCTTGCGTTTCTTGCAGTTTGGCTGTTTTTCAGTGCAAGAAATGGTGATAAACTGCAAGAAATTAAACTAACCAGTAAAATTGAGGAAATCCGTCATTTTCTGTAATTTCTTGCACTTTTGGACAGTTATCTTTCTATTACATACCAAGAAATTAAAAGGTGCAAGAAGCCAAACATAAGTGAAATTATACACAACGCCGGGTGTGCCACATATTTCTTGCGTTCCTTGCTTACAGTTTCTAGCATGATTTTTTGCACAAAAATGCAAGAAATTGATAAAAAAACGAAGAAACCAAACACCGGTCAAATTGAAGACGTCCTTGCCGCACAGCCTTGGGGAGAGATGAACGACGACCAAATTGGGACGAGGGGTGAGAGGATGACTTAACTTTACGTGTCGGACGCATCAAAGGGCTTTGCACTCGAACTGAGAAGGAAAATCTCCAGCAGATAAGATTTATGGTCAATATACATTCGAGATGAAAGACCTTGTTCACATTTTTTTCTTATTCAACTGCCTGCTTATTACTCGCCAAGGGTAAAATTGTTATTCCAAGCGCAAATAACAGTCAAATAAAAGTGAAACGACAGGTTGGAACAGGATTACGGATTTTTTTCTGTGGGTCCCTATTTTTGCAGGATAAGTTTGCCCTTTAAGAGGTGACAAATGACATTAATTCAGCCAGTTTAATCTGATCTGATTAATGTTTTAGAAATATTGTGCAAAAATAATTTTGATATTTTAATTAAATAATATGGGCAGAAAATCAAGGAAGTAATTTCTGCGTGTCGTTTATTTACTATTCGTTTATTTACGCTTACAATCTGTGTGGAAAGTAAATACTGTCATTTGCTTAATAGTACATACATTCATTTCTGCGTAAACTTTGTATCGATACAATTCTTCAGGAGAACCGCTAATTGATATTACACCTGTGCAATCGGTCATTTGAGAAGGTAAACAGGATTGACTGACATTCATTCATACATGTTGCAACTTTTAATTCGTGAAGAAGGCGCTTTATAAAAATGATTTGGGATTAAAGTCGTTCTGAAAAATAGGGGATATGGGGTTAAGATAATTATAGTTTATTCATTTTCAGAAATTTCTGTCCGAGGTGTAAAGTCAGTCGTAACTTTTAATAATTTTTCCTATACAGATCAAATGTTAAATTTGAGCTTTTCCTTTCCCAAAATTTTGGCATTTTTCATTTGGCATTTTATAACAATATTAAGTTTAGGGCCGCTTAGTTTTTTTGAGGTTTATTAAAACCACCGAATTCATCCTCCACCATGACCACAAACTTCTAACGTCTCTACAGTAATGCATTTTCTTCTAGTTAATCATACTCCTTGAAGGGTTAACAAGTACTAAGGATAAATTCCATTGGGCACATTCACGTCAACCGATGCAGACTTAATTTCCATGACTAATTAACCTCTTTCATACTACTCATTTTTATAAAATAAAACTTATGTGGAGGATGGTATTAATTTTATAATAACTCATGATAGCTACCAATTAAAATTTCAACAAGTACCCAATGTTTAAATTATTTGACGGAAAGCACAAAAATCCACTTTTAATATTGGTCAGTAGAGGGGAAATTTCAAAAAAAAATCAGGAGAAAAATATCAAAAATAAAAATATCGGATTTCCGTTGCTACATTTCTATTTCCATATTATAAGCGGCTTGTAAATTCTGCATATGAAAATCTGCATAATTCATCACACGAACTTCGTAAACAGCGTAAACCGTGCCATCATAAACTTTGCAAATCTGTACGACACCACCACTGACGAGCAGCATGATGTCATTTTTACACTCGTTACTCTCTGGCCAGACAGTGTCAAATAACGGGCTGGCTTATTCTGTCAGGTTGATCTTTCACCTCTCTCACGACCGGATGGAGTGAAGACAATACAACGGCAGTGTGTACAATATATGGAATAAAATCATGAATGTATGTATACATATATTTAAGAAGTAGGTTAAGATTTAATCTGGACTTAATAATATCGATTTCATATTATATAAAATCTGCATAAAATCTGCATTTACAAAAAACCCACAGGGATTAGGGATGAACAAGTTTCAAAATCACAATTTGAATCCATAAAGTTGCGTCACAAAAATTCAAATTCAAAACCCACCCAACAATATCGCCTTTAACTTGATAAAAATGCAAAGTTTACGCTAACTCTGATTAATAAATTTATAAAGCTCTTTCCATAATTTATAACGATTTTAAATTTTTTACAGACGCGACGACCAAGGATTCCAGAGCCATTTGTACTTTCCCTCAACGCCAGAGTATCGCTGTAACTTGTAAACCTTGCTTCGATTACTGTGAAGAGGTCGTGCAAGAGTTGGAGAAAAGAATGTCATCATTTTGCCACTTTTATTACATAGTCTTGCCACAAGAAGTGATAGTAGAGCGTAGTTTTTGAACCGGTCAACATAAAATTAAAAGGTCAGTTGCGGTTTGTACATACATTCAGTGCCTATCATTGGTGGTGACCGTTTTTACTTGACGTCACTAGGTCAAAAGTAAGAGGAGCTTACCTACATGCGCGCGGCAATAATGTTTCACTTTTTGCACCAGAAAAAAATGATCAATGTTTGATGTAGTGTAGCACTCCACGTGCAACTACGATCTGGTTACCAAAACTATTAAACTAACCCTAGAGACAGTGTCTATCTTTGGTATAAAGGTTTCGATGGTCTAAGGTCAAGGAGGACTACAGTGATGTCCAAAGCTTTAAAGACCAGAATAGCACAAAATGTCTGTTGGATGCCGGAGACTTTGGCCACACAAATGACCTTTCAACTTTACAAATCAGATGAGCACTGAAAAATGACTCTAAGATGTAGGTCTTTTCGATTAGAAATCGTCACATGCTACAGATATCCCAAGCCTAAGCAATGGTCAAAAAATCGACCTCTCTCCCCAAACGGTACGGTGAAAAAACCAAAAAAACTAACCCATTTACCGATGATAATTTCTTTACGACAGGAACATATTTCAACAAAAAAACTAACACGTTTTATGTCAAATATTCTAAGGGTTAGCTGATTACAAAATAAAGGTCAAAATGTTATCTTATCAGGCTCCATTCATGGTTTCGGCGGGAATCGGCGGAATTGAGCAAAAACAGCCCAATTTCCTTGATTAAGGAGAGAAGATAGTTTCAAAAAATATTTGATAAAAGTCCTGATGAAACTGGAGCACCCCCTCAACTATTCCATATCGGGTGAAAGGCCACCGACCTTTGCGAAGGCGTCCACAGTAGCATTTACAGCGAAATTCGTGAAAAACTTGATTAAAATCCACATTTCTGACTTCATTTGCACTTTAGGTTTAACGTTGGAATTTTCGAACCGCAGACAACTTCACCACCTAATATTGATTAAAATTGAGGAAAGGGTCAGTTCTGAACCCCATATAAGTGTCAAGGTCACAAAAAAATTTCTGACCCGGGAATGATACACTTTGTCAATTAATTTCGTGCGTATTTTTGATGGAGCTTTCTCTTTCGTGACCAATTTTTCATGGTCACAGGAGGAATATATTTTCAAGTTTAATACATGTTTTCTACTAGAAATTTAACTGGCTTTTCAATGGAATAAGAATAAATTTTAAATTCCTTAAAACTAACCTCATATAGTCGTCTCATCTACTATCACTTTTTAAGTTGAGACTATGTACATGAATTGTATATTCTGATTTGGATAGTATTTGTAAAAACTCGTTTTCTCACGAGGATGTAACAAGTTTTTGGCGAAATTTTGCAATGTTTGAATAAGAATTAATTGATTGTATACTTTTCTGCGAACTTGAGATTTCCTCCTTCAAATACTTTCAAAATCTGGAGTTTATTTTTTTTAATTTGCAACAACGAACTTTAAGAATTTGTCGCCCGGAATTTTAAAATAAGTTCCTAGGGAAATAATTGGAAATGTGCTAATTTTAGGAACGTGTCATGGAGTCCCACATACACATGACATATATTCTAAGTAAAAATAAGTAAAATTGACCCAAGGTTGAGTGAACAAAAAGGACGACGACCAAAAAGTAAAATTTATCCAACCGTTGTGGAAAATTTGTCCAAAATTGTGTAAAATGTGTCCAACGGGGAATAAATTTTGCACAATGGTTGAATACAGTTTAAGTTTTGGTGTATGTATGACACCAAAGGCACGATGATAACGAGCATTACAGTTTAGCAATATTATGGCAAATACAAAATTATTGCAATTTAGAAATAAACTTCACATGAACAAGGAAACTGTTTTGTTTGACACTAAAATACAAAGATCATGATGAAAATATAATAAAATAGCAACACTAGCTCTTCATTAATCAATGGGGGAACTCACCTCAAAGTTTGTATCGTTATTGAAACGTTTGACACTTTGACTTTTGACACATTATAAAGAACGGATCTGAGCGGATATTTTATAAAATTGAAAAAAACGGTTGGAATATTTTTTATCAAAAAAATTAATCGGGTCGGGTATTTTGTAATGTCGAAAAAACGGATTGAATTTGCAAGTTTTTACCTGGAACCAATATATAAATCATACAAAGTGGGAATATTGTCCATAAAACGCCACTGGGCTCACCTGCTGGTCCAAGTTTTATGTGGGCAGCAATAAAGAAATAATTGGAACGGCTGGTTTTATGAATGTATCACAACTTGCAGAGTGAAAGTACACTCTGAAAAATCCGGTGTTAATCGTAACCGAGCGGTGACTTAACAAACATGGTGATAATGGTTTTCACCGCATGCTGATAAATCTTGACCACATTCTGGCAAATTGTCACATGCTGGTGATATTTTAGGGGAGAAACATCATCACCGCGCGGTGAAGTCACATATGAACACCTTTCGGAAACCATAACACCGGACTTTTAAGAGTGTAATGGTAAAATTGTTATCACATTTTTGTCCCTATTTATGTATAATATCAAATTTATATTTTTCGGACATGCCGTACACGATAAACTTTCACATCAAAGATTTCTATGTACAGGGTGGTCGACAAGTTAGGCAACAGACGAAAAATCTGTGGGTATTCACGCCAAATTTTTAAATGCTGTAAATATGCATTTTCAATTCAAATTGGCAGTTCACGACACAGATTTCGCAAACACAAGGTTGCGAAGATTTGGCGAAACGACGTTTTGGAGTGACGTATATACGTGAATACCCATATTAATTGTAGTGTATACATAAAAGTATGGAAAAAGGGTAAACATTTTTATAAAGTTAAATATGTTTTTAGTAGGAAATGCATTTTTTGATAACTTAATTTATAATAGCTACATAATTTTTATGCGAATTTCTCACCAAACCTTGGGAATTTTCAGTTTTCAAGTAATATTAACATGGCTTTGTTTTTTATTAATTGGGGGGGGGGACTTATTTTTGAGAATTCTTTACGCTGTAATTTATATTTATTTCCTGACTTAGTAAACACCCTGTACCTATGCATGCATTGTACATACATACGTGGCAGGTGGCTGTATGCAATTATAATCCCGCATTTACTACATACTTTCACCCGAGAAAGGAAGGGATGTACATAAATTACGTAACGCGAGGGGGGAAATGAGGTCTTAGGATTTAATGGTATCGATCCTATTCTATCCATTTGGAATGGGAGATGGGGGGATGGGGGCATGGGGGTCTACAAAATCGCGACTTATCTGCTGTAATTGATGGACGGCCCCTAAATATCTGGGGTTAATTTTTTCCAGTACATACTAACGTACAGATGCTGCGCAACAGAGGGGACCTTATCACCAGACATATTTAATGTCCCCAATATCTTTCCATGTTATGTAAAATTATTTTTCCCGTATCTTAATATCCCCCCGGCTTCCGCGGCCTTTGCTGGCACACACACATATAAATAAAACCCTTCCCAACGATGTATTAGTCATTCTTCAAAATTCGTTTCGAATGCGAGCAACTCACACTGACTTTGGGAACTAGCATATATTACGTCATCACAAAAAGTACATACATTTTTAAACGAACCACCCACCCCTTTCCTATCAAGCTTATATTTAACTTGACACGAGTTAAATAGATAAGCGACCCAAAAAAAACTTTGCTTTTCGATGACGTAATATATGCACGTTCCCTTCCAGAGAAAAGAGATGAAAGAGGGGAGAGAATTCCCAATTGGGGCTGTCATCGCGGTCATGTTCTTCCTGGTGTACTTTGTCATCATTCTGAACGAAATAGTGTTCCCCGGGGTATTTTGGGAACTGAGAAGTATTTTTTAAATAAATAAATTAAGGGTTTGGAAATTTTTAATAAAATTTTCCCCATTGTTTTCAGATGCGACCAACAAGTCGACCGAAGAAATTAGGAAACACTACTGCTCTCTAACGAGTCCATGGCGGGACGAGTGCTTTTAGCCGCTGCTGGAAGGAATTTTAGAAAATGTGTGTGAATAAAAATGATGCATTTTGTAAACTCTAAATAATTTGGCGGTAAATCGTCACCCGTGAAGGTACTTTACTCACTGTCCTATTTTTTGGTAATAATTTGAGAGGCGTTTTATCACCAACAGGAAATAGGTAGGAAAAAAATCTGGTGACAAATGTGACTTTGTAACAGAATTAAATACGTTTATACACAAAATGTTAAGCGTTTTAAAATAATGACGACAGGCTTGACTGGTACTCGAATATTTGGCTTATTTCCCGTTGGTGACAAAATGTCTCCTTAATCATTACCCAAAAATAGAGCACTATAGTACCTCCGTGGGTGATGATTTGTCTGCAAATTATTTACAGTGCATACATCTTAATTTCGAATTTACTTTGGGAAAAAATTTGGAAAATGCAGACTCAAATTTTATTTTACAAAATTCTAGTAGCAGTTAAATAGGGATATAAAGATTTATGTATGTACAAAATGTATTATTTGATTGATATAAAATATTTTTTAATGTTTTTTAATTTTATTTAAAATTTTATGTAAATATTTGTTTGTTTTTATTCACATAAGCAAGTAAACTTTTGCAGTATTTATTTTATTATTACATAAGTAGAACGATTATTACATCTCATCTGTATGAAATTCAATTATTAAAAAAATTATAAATGATTATCTGAAAATTTATTAATGTCCTAATTTATTTAGTAACTTAGCCATGCCGTCTGGTTTTGATTTGTTAAAGAAAAATGGAGATTATGATTACGTTTTTACAAAGCTTCGTCAGGCGTGGATCAGAATTTGACACTTTGTTTCAACACATTGCTTTACATACATACATTTTTGTTCAGAGGCACAATAAATGTAATTCTGCCGAGTCCTTGCAACATATTTATCTGTCTGCAGAAATTTACACCCTAAATAAAAATGTGCAAACATTAATTCAACATTGAGTAAAAAAGAAGATGACACGACGATGTTGTAGGATTTGTGTAATGATTAGATAGCTCAATTTTAACCAATTGTTCAGTGGCGGGGCTAGCAGTGGGCACAAGTGGGCCCGTGCCCACGTGTAATGTTGTGTCCCTCTACACTAGATATTATTGCAATTTTCTCAAATGGTAAAAATTTTTTCTAGCACTTATTGTAAATTTAGAAAATTTTCCAGCAACAAAAAAATTACGAAATAATCGAATTACGAAATTATCGAAATTATACGAAATTATCGAAAAATTACGAAATAATCGAAATCTCGGTCATTTCTCACCTGATTTTGATAAAATTTTGCATAGAGTTCACTGTTTAGGAATCTGAAACCGATTTCTGCTGCGGGGAGGAGAATTGCTGATTTTTGCTCTAGTTTTTCGCAACAAGAAACAAAAATTTGTAATCTTGTTGCTATGCATGGTACAACTTGATGCCTCACACGTTTCTAAATTATTGGAACGAATTACACAAATTATTCTGAACATCGTAGGACAAAAACAACATACTTAAATCTGTCAAGAATTCACAAAGCTATTACAATTTAAAACTAATGGCTGACTAAAAGATTCATTAAATTATTCTGGGTTCGACCATACCCGTTGAGTTTCATTCATACCACTGATTATGGGGAATGAAAATGAATTTCTTGTGATTTAAATGCAAATGAATTCCCTGTGATTCGAATGAAAATAAATGTCCTGTGATTTTAATTAAAATTAGTGAAAGATTCTGTCATTTAAAAGGAGTGACTGTGAATGAAATGATTTATCACTCGTCTAATTTTTCACACTAGTGAGAAATGAAATGAATTTGAAAGAAAATGACTGAGTGTGAATGAAAATCTTCAGTCAGAAATCGGGATGACTGAACTATGAATGCAAAAACGATTTGTTGAACAGGTATGGGTGCAATACAAGTTTGAGTAGGGTAACATGCCCCTCCTACCCGGAAGTGAAAAATCCGCTCAAAGGTTTTATAGGTAACCCTTGCATTGACTTTATCCGGAATTCGAGCAAGCGAGTGGCATGAAAACATTTTCCGAAGATGAATTAGCAGGCTGATCTTTTGTAGACAAACTAAAAATCACAAGGTGCTGAATACATTACTCTCTGGGTTCCACAGTATTCCGTATGTCCAAGCTACAATAAGCATTTTTATTTTTAAAATCCATTTTCAAAATTGAAACTTATGTTTCCAAGCCCGGTGACATTGTAAATTATCGGGCATGTCGCCTTCAACTTCCAAAATGATGTCAAAGATTTCCTTTGAAATCTCTAGTATTGTTCAAGAAATATGTAGTTGTAGTTTGATTTGATCAATTTTGAAACTTACTCTCGGTATTTTTTGATAAAGCAGTGCGATTTGTAAAAAGGTTTACAAATATGTTGTTTTATTTACAGAAGCTAAATGTATTCCAATAATATTCATACATGCTCCCCCACTTCATATTCTGCGGACAATAAACGAATTGACATTAAAAAAAATATAAAACAAAATACAAAATTTATTTAATTTCGGAAAACTTGTTTGTAAATCTTTTTCGGACACAAATATCTCAGGCGTGGTTGACAACAATGAATTAATGTTTCAACCCAGTAATGTTGGCTATTTGTATATTTAGTGGCTACCAACCTTATCAAGTCGAAATTGCTAATAAATATATATGGTGGCATAGATATGAAAGCTTATGAATGGCAAATTTCTTATACATGTAGTCCCGGTAGTCCCGGTAGTAAATAGATGCTTATATAACGAGATGACAATACGAAATTGATCACTTTGCGTGTGAATGGTATTCACTGAATACTTATTTATGTCAGTTGTGTCAGCTCTTAATTTTTTAAACTATGTACATATTTAGTACAAAGTTTTGAGGAGAATTGTAATAAAATTTAAATCACTCATTGTGATAGAAATATTTTTAAAAAAGTGGCAATCATATTTTCGGTATATTTAGTAATTTGCATACTTTATTCTGATGAAACCGAGCTGTCTCAAATAAATCTCACCTTTTCGTGAATGACAATTGGAGGGATATTTGGTTTTGTTTTTGATTCGCTCATGGAGTGCAGTGCAGATAAATAATTCCAGGATGAAATCCAATTTCTCGCATTTTTAGCCAAGTTTGAGCTAATGATTGTCAATTTGTTAATGTCAGGCCAATTTCTCGTTAAACTACTTAGTGGGGGCAGGCTAAGTGTTAATAGCTAAAAACTTTAGAACCGTTGGAGATAATGAAAATCTGATAAGTGCATTGGATTGCTCGTGCGATTTTACATAAGTAACACATATCAGTTTTTGACCACTTGAAAAGCAGATTAGCATGGCAATTTTTGAAAGGAAGTAGGTGGCAATAATTTTGCACTACACAAATGGAAAGAGAAATGGCGAATTTTAAAAGTGTGACAGGAATCGAATGCGCACTTTAATTTAGTTCAGCGGACTATAAAAACGTTCATGGGGACCGGGTCGAATAAGAACAGTCGAAGAAAATTTTTTGGAAAACCTACAAGGACCACACCCATCGTGAACGCGCTGAAGGACAGAATCCGAAGAAATTCTCGAAATTCCAACGGAAAATAGCCTCACAGCCGACATTGTTGACGCAGATTTTCCAACGAGAAATGTGGTACTTGACACCTCTTGATGGTTCCCACAAACAAAGCCCTACTAAAGAAATGAAGGGCTCTCCTCAAGCGGTACGCGCCAAAAAAGTGAAGAGGATTTTTTTTTACAGATGAGGCGATTTTCACATCGGAAGAGTTTTATAACAAACAAAATGTCATAATCTACGCAAAATCGGTCAAAGACATCCCCCAATACAGACAAAAGGTCAAAAAGTCACATTATCCATGTTTTGTCATGGTTTTCGCAGGTGGGAGCAAATTCGGGCAATTCCTCTACATTTTGTCGAAAATGGGGGGAACGTGGGGGGATAAAATTTCTTGAAATATGTTTTTGAGTCCGTGGTACATCCCCTAAGTGAAATTCAATTCAACGGAATCGATGGGACCTCTCAGCAGGACTTTGCACGAGCTTATAGTGCAAAAAATGATCCAAGCGTGTTTAAAAAAACTCATTCTGGAATTTTTCACCACTTTAAAATGGTCATCATCCCTGATGGATTTAAAACCCGGAATATGAAATGTGGTCAAACTTAGGGGCAAAGGTGTGGTCTAAGCCTCATAGAAGTGTAGAGGCCTGAAAAAAATTTTTGACCACGGAATGGAACACTTTGTCCAGGAATCAGTGCGTGCTTCAGCGGAGGACTGCAGGCGGCTTTTCTAGCACTGCATTAATGCTGGGGGAGGAAATTTCGAAAACTAAAAATTGTTTTCTACTCAGAAATTAACTGGCTTTCCAATAAAACTAACTAGAACATTGTAGCACAAAAACTGTTGAATGTATGGCGTTTCATTCTATTAACACTTAGCCTGCCTGCACTAAGTACATTGATTTCGAAATTGGTGATTGGAATTTAAATTGGATTTGCTGAAAATATGTGAGGTGAGAATTTCATCGTCATTTACATTCTTCGCTCAAACTTTGTCAACTTAATTGGAGTTTCCCCGGTAATTAAAAATATTAATTTCTTGATTTAATCCTCTGATAATGTAAGAACTTTGATTTAGTTTGTATGAACTTTTATTAATATTAACTTAATTATGTATGTGACTGGACATTTTTCTTAGGTGGATCAATATTTCCGCACTGATTTTAAGTTAAATTGACATCACTTCAAATTTGTTCGCTAAAACAGATTTGGTCTGGTAATTTAAGCACACGATTTCTCACTGTAATTATTTGACTCAGGTCCTTCTTAAAGAATTTCTTTATTTATGAAATATTAGGCCGAAAAATGGAGTCAGTTTTTGACTCTGATCCTAGTGATATCAGTAAGGACAAGGACGGAAGGCCTGTTCAACCAAATTTACAAACTTTTCCGAAGACATTAATTGGGGGCAAGAATCGGGGTTTCAATTCATCATGGTATGAAAAATTCAACATGATAGAATATTCAAAATCCAGGGACAAAATCTATTTCTTTTGCTGTCGCCACTTCTCAACATCGAGAAATAATTCTTTCGTGACTGGATTTTCTGACTGGAAACACATGTATAAGAAATTTGATGAACATTTTAATTCCACGAAGTCACACCATCAATTCGCAAGAGAAAAATATGTACTATATCTTCAATCTAAACAAAAAGGAACAATAGCAACTCAAATCAGTGCACACCATAAAAACGATGTGATCCGGAATCGCAATGTGTTGTCAAGTCATGTTGAAATTATTTTGTTATGCGCACAGCAAGAAATAGCGCTTCGAGGACATCGAGAGAACGAGCAGACATCAAACCGAGGAAACTTCATCGAAATACTCGAATTACTGAAGCAAAAATGTCCTGACTTAGCAAAAAATGTCGAATCGATGCCTGGAAATGCAAAATATATTGATCATCACATACAAAATGAAATAATCGAATTAAGTGGAAAATTGACTCGAGGTATGATTGTCAAGGAAATACAAGATGGATCCAACTGTTACTCTGTGATCGCCGTCGAGACGAAGGATAAAGGCGGGATCGAACAATTAAGTGTCTGTGTACGATATTTATGTCAATGTGAAATTGTGGAGAGATTCCTTGGATTTACGGATTTGCACAAATTTGACGCAGAATCCATAACAGACGGTATTAGCAAAATGATAATTAACAGTGGACTAGACATAACCCGGTGTGTCTCTCAAGCATATGATGGCGTCATGAGCGGTAACATTTCCGGCGTATGCAAACGATTCCAGTCTCAGGTTGGGGGGCCAACTCCATACGTACATTGTTACGCACATCGCTTAAATTTTGTATTGGTTGATTGTTGTGCCGATCTTAAGGATATCAAAGAAGTAATTGGACTTATTCAAGCTATTTATAATTTTCAAAGTCAGTCTGTACGTAGGAGTGAATACTTCAAAGACGCCCAAGCAATGATCGGATACGATAAAATTTTGGAGCTACCAAAAAGTTGTGATACGAGAAGGTCAAGTCAAAAGAATGGGATATCATATTTCCACAATCGGCTAGATTCTGTAATCTTGGCGTTGGAAAATATTTCTGAAAATGGAAAACCTGCTGATCTTGCAGAATGCAAAGGATTTCTTCATCAACTGAAATCATTTCGAACACTTCTACTAATTTTCATTTTGGATTAAGTTCTTGGACACACAAATGCACTTTCAGAATATCTTCAGTGTTCAGATCTTGTTTACACACGTGCCATTAAATTATGTGAAGCAACTATCACCACGCTATCAGAAATGAGGAATGAATTGATGTTCAATGATCTCTGGAAGTCAGCTGAGTCTCTTTCGCATAAAGTTTTTGTCGAGGTTCAAGATCCAAATTGTGTGCCAGTCTCCAAGCGAAGAAAAACCGTTGGGTCAAAATACCTGATAGACTCATTTGTTTGTGCTACTACGGGAAGCAGGTGTACCGAAGCCGGAACAATTGAACAAGAATTGAGAGGAGTGTATTACGAGGTGCTTGATCGTTTCATCCAGGAAATGAAAAGACGACTAATGGATAACTCGGAAATTCTAAGGGGTCTCTCGGCGTCCGACCCACTAAATGAAGACTTTCTCAATGAAGAAGAAGTACTGAATTTTTGTGCATCATTTATCAGATTCAATTTTAATGTAGATTCACTTAAAGCTTAACGTACTTATGTAATTCAATATAAATACATATCTGAGATGTACGAATATCTTTAGCTCAAAATTAGGGCTTGGAAGCAAATTTGTATCTTTAAAATTAAAAAAAATCCTTTTAAAGACTTAAATTGAAATTACTTTGAGAAGAGCTTCATTTTTCAATTTTTTTGTGCCCACGTCGGAAATTTGGCTAGCCCCGCCACTGCAATTGTTGTCTCATCCTCTTTTTATACTCAAACTTAAGTAAATTTTACACATTTTTATTTAGAGTGCATGCATATGTAGCTTTACCAGTTCATAATATGTATACCTACATATCCACGACTGACAAGTTTGTTGCTGACGGAAATTCGATAAATGAGTGCATGCAAACTTGTGCGAAATAATGTTTTTCTCCATTATTGTAGCCAATTTTAGTATGCAAACGACATAAATAAATGACTCTTTACGAGGTTGTAAACCAAGCCTGAGTTTCTGCTCCAAACAATTGGAGAGCCCGAGTCGTTTTGCAAACTCGTAATTAAATTTGCACAGGATAAGTGAAGCAAAGCGAATTAATTCGTACTTTCACTTTGGGAATACTTTTTATGTATTTTGTATCTTTCACTTGTTATTTACGTGTTTCATATATGTATAGTATGTATGTATGCAGCACATTATATTTCTGTGCGTGCATATGTTCACCTTTAAAATAGTTGCAAGCATAACTTTTACCTAGATTATCTTCATTCAGGTGGAATTGTTGTGCTTACTTGCCAGGCATAAAGAATTAATAAATTGGAATGACTTGATCACAATTTGTCGGACAGAGAAAGAAAGTACATAAAATTCTCATCTCATTTTTTACAAATGAAGTACATAATTTATTTCTTTTCAGGACATTCGTGATTACAACTTTCCCGTAATTGGGTTCTACTTAACGAAATGGTTAATGGTCCTGTATTACTTTCTGAACTAGCACTTTCACCCAAAAAATACTAAATTGTCTGAACATGTCAATTATTTGAGCCCGGCATATTAGGCAAAATCATTCTTTGTGAGGTGGTCATTCTCTAAAATTCGTCTCGACAGCGAGCACCTAGTACATACATTAAATCGTTTTAGATAAATTGTTATTTATTCATCTTCATTTATTCATATTCATATTCATTCGTTGTTATTTAAGGGAAAGATGGGGAGAAAGTTTCTGATTTTCGTTTTCGTGGTGATCCCCTACTTGCTCAGTTTCCTTGACGGGTTTGGGTTTCAAGGTCAGGCGTCTAAACCTGGAAGTATGTATGTACATATTTATGTACATTTAATTTAATTTAATTACATAATAATTACTATAATAATTACTATTAAAAATAGTGTCGCCCTTTTGAGCAGTAAATGCCTTCTGAATTCTAAATTACTTACACTATACTAAATCCAGAGCATACTTTACTCTTGGTCAAGTTGACGTTACTCTGAATTTCGTACAGTTTAAATATTTAATATAACCTAAAAAGTGGTTTTAGGATAACCATATTTTAAGAGTGTCAGAGTAAATTGAGCAGTGTTTGTTATGGGTTTTAATAAAAGTTTCCCGTTTTGTTTTCAGACGCGACACAGGACGTTTCTCTAAGGAAAAGCACGAGTACCAACTTTAATTGTAGACGTTGCTGCGATTCCTGGCAGGAGGTCATGCAAAATTTGAGGGAAATTTCGACACTTGGGCAACTTTTTTGCCTTTTTACTTTAATCATAATTAACAACCAGTTAAATTATATTCTAGAAATTTTTGGCAACCGTTAGGTTAAAATTAATTGATTTGCAAACCTTTTAGTGGTGTGTAGATCGATAGGTTTGTATGAATAGTTAATGATTTGTATGTACAATCTTAAAAATAAAGCTACCATTTTGAAAAGTGTATCCACCCTGAATTTTAAATTAAATTAAATACACTCTTAAAAATTCGGTGTTTATCGTCACCGAACGGTGCACAAATGTAACCATTAGCAGCGCATGGTTGTAAAATGAACATCAGCCGGTGCCAATTTGTCACCATGTGGTGAATTCACATGTGTACATCGTTCGGTAACGATTGACACCTGGTATTTAAGGGTGTTGATTATTGTAGTGAGATTTTTGTGTTGTAAATTCTTTAAAATATTTACAATGCAATGGAGTCAAGTGTAACACTCCGTTTTGGTTGAAATTTTAAAATTGTGTGATACAACGAACGTTTCTTGAGGGAGTCCGTGCGATGGTTGGAATTTATCAAATCTCAGGTAAAGCTTGAAAAAGTGGGGGATTCTTACATTCTTATATGCTTATTCTTAGGAAGCAACCTCCACTTCTCAAAGGAGAAAATCCTTCATTTTTTAAACTTTGACCTCAGATATTTTGACAAATTCCAACCATCGCACGGACTCCCTCAAGAAACGTTGGTTGGACCACACAATTTTAAAATTTCAACTAAATCGGAGTGTTACACTTCACACAGTTCACACCATCGCATTGTTAGATTTGCAATTTTAACGATATGACGTCATAATTTTGCAAATTGTTAAATTACTCAACTTGTATCATTTTAAACTTTTGACAAATTTTATTGTACTAATGCTTGTTGTTCGTACTGAAATAAAAGGTTAAACGGAATTATGTACATTTCAATACTAAATATTTGAATAATTATAATAATAATTTATTAATAATAATAATTTAATAATAATTTGTTAATATTAATGAATTCATTAATTTCTTATCACACAATGCACTAAATTGCCGGTTTTAATATTTAAGGCGATACACATAAAAGTTGAATAATGCAACGCGTCAATCAGAGGAATTTGCATATTTTGAGCACAATTTTATAAACGATACAACATGTCATTAAGATAGATATATACAATGAAATAGTGTTTTTTCGGCTTCCAACGATTTTCCAGTTACATGGCTTAAAATTTGTGTAATATTGAGTAGATCAAAATTCCGTGATAAAATTGGGGGGTACGCCAGCAGTTTTCGCGATACAAGCCAAAATGTGCGAATTATTTGCCAATTTTGAGATATTCAGGTTTTAGCTAAACCTTAGGTTTAGTATGGCTCGAAATAATTTTAAAAATTATTTTGGACCAGAATTTGGCCGCTGCCTCGATTTGGGACCCCACTTTCCCAATATATCAAACTTTGCAAAATAATTGCATTTTCCGTATTAGCAATCCACGATCGAATAATGTGGTTTTGGTTAGCAAGTTAACCCATAAGTCTAACGATTTAACCGACTTAATCAGAACTATAATCAGAGTTGCTTATAGCAAATTTTGTAAACATCCGGGAATGCTGTTAATAATTCGAAATTCTGTAAACTACTCTTCTTCGTTTGTAATTATATTTAGCCACTGACTTGAATTTATCGAACGCAGTTACAGAACATTTTACTGCAAAATTTGAACGGAAACGAAAGTCGAATATGAATAATGAGTTACTGTTTAACATTGCAACGGATTCCTTATATACAATGTTGCCAATTCGGAGTTTTGAAATTAGTGCAAAGTTTTGTTAACCACTCGAAAATTTGTTAATGCCGCATATGTAGACTTGTAACGTATACGATGTATTGGTACAAGTGTATTAGCATAAAATCTGTGGCTGCTCGTGAATGAAAGTTGGTGACGATTTGTCTCCAATTTATTTAGAGTGTGGTGTAAAATTTTAATCTTATCTCGCTCATTTTGGCAAGACTAGTGATAAGTAATTATTCCCGATGAGTGACACTGAAGAATTTTTCGATAACGAGTCTCATACACTTCGAGCTTGACGGGACGTTCATAAATTTTGTAACGGGAGAGGGGAAAAGGGAGCTTGCATATATTACGTCATCATTTTAATGGGTGCTTGCTTTAGGTCTTCCTATCTTTCCCATGTTAAAAGTCCCTACCCCTTAATGTTTACGTTGGGTCTAAACTCGGGAATTTTTAATGGCGTAATATATGGAAGGCGGCTAAGGCTTAAGTGGTATCATGCCTTCATGCCTCATCTTAAAGTGGGGAAAAGGGGTTTAGAAACTCTCCATTTTTGCGTTTCATAATTTATGCCCGTCCCCCTAGTCAGTTCGTCTACTTGTTCATCACCACTCAAATACCCGGAACGTTGCAGAATTCCTAGAAAGTAATGAAAAAATGTTACATATTGTCAGTGGCCGCGGAAGCGGGCGGACAGAGGGACAATGTCCCCCAGGTACTCGATCAATATTCTCATCGCCAACCCTATGTTACAAATAGAAAAAGCCCCTCCATTTACTATCCCACAATTTTAATGTCCCCACAGCTTCCGCGGCTACTGCACATGGTGTGTTTATTGTTACAAGGATGTGAATATGTATTTATATACACGATTCCTCTCATCGTACGCAGATACAGATACAACTAACGTAACTTTATGGAATGCTTATCTTCCGTACGTTTCTCCATGTGGTACATATCATACATACGTATTTTTCAACACGGTTCAAACAATGACACCAACACAGGAAAGATTTCGGTTGCGAAAATCAGTTTATTTTCAGTTTCGTCACTCCTTTAATGCGGTGAAGATTTGGTGTCAAATATTAAAATCGTCATGCTCTTCTCTTATGTTACATAATATACAATAGATTCTCTTGAGATCAAGCAGATATACATGTATAAACTCTTAGAAACCTGGTATTGAATCATTACCGGCGGAAGAATATATTTATGTGACTCTACCGGCACAGTAGTATCGGATACATACCTATACATACATATATTTACTATTGTTTTGTTAAAAAAACCTTACCCCTCTGAAAAAAAAACTATGTGACTCTACCACATTTTTATTAGCGTAAATACGTATAAATTTGGAATAAATACTATTTGAAAAAAATAGTGATTCAGTTTAAAAATCTAAAATAGGAACATAATTGAAATTTGAAATATTTTGCAATGGATCCTCCTGCTTCTGCTGTCGACACACTTTTTCGAAACAATCAGGTAAATTAAATATGTAGCTTACTTCATTCTAAATTTATTTACACTCTTAAAAAATAATGTTACCCTTTTCAAAAATGAATGCAGTCTGCATTCAAAATTGTGTAAACTGCACCAAATCCAGAGTAGCATACATACGTATGTACATTGCCCCTAGAGAGAATAAAGTTTGCTCTGGATTTTATATATTTTTTATGCTTAATTTTGAGCCATCCAAATATTGCGTCATCAAAAATTTGCGATTTTAACACCCACCCACCCTACATAGGTACGTATACATTAAGGTTTAGTTAATTTTAAGATGGGAAAGATAGGACGACCTTTATAAACCACCCACCCACTAAAATAATGACGTAATATATGCACGTCGCCTACAGAGTTCAGACTGCATTCACTGTTCGAAAGTGTAATATTTATTTAAGAGTGTAGGTAACTACAGTACAAATTACCATAATTGTTTCTTAACAGCTAATGGAGCATATTTGGCCAAAAATTTACCAATACCTCGACACGGCCACCCTTCTCCGCTTACGGTTACTGGGACCCTTCTGGAACACAACTGTAATGCAGGACTTAACGGAGAAAAAAATTCATCATAAACCTCCCTGCATTTTATGGAATTCCCAACATATTGCAGAACTTGAAAAGTTTGTACAACTCTTCGAAACCGTTTCAACTCCGTGGTTTATAAATTATACCTTTTGCACGATTGGGATGGAATTGTGTGTCCTGCTTGACAGCAAGATTCCCACGTGTCGCTACATTCTTGGGAAATATGGCCATGTCGTGAAATATTTTTGTCTCGGAGGTATCCAGACGGAACGAATCAACATTGAAAGAGAAGAATCAGGGTAGAGTACACTCTTAAAAATAATGTTACGCTTTTGACCAGTAAATCCTGTCTGGATTCTGAATTAAAAAAACTTGGGGTGCAAGCAAACCGTGTTCAACCAAGATTATTTTCGTCAAATTATTTACAGAGAGAAACTTTTTCGAAACAAGATTTAGTCCGGCAGTTGTGCAGATGCGATAAATTCGGCAAGTTTTGCGCCCCGAAAGTTCACCAAACACGGATCTAAGGCACCGATTCCACTGGAAAACCAAACTTCCGGGGAGGAAAAAAACTTACCCAATTTTTCCCATCTACGCACCTGCCGCCCAAAATATTGTTTCCCAACAGTTGCTCTTTCAAACTAGCATGACCAAAAATAATCTGGGTTGAGCATGGTTTGCGCCCTCATGTTTTCCTAATTTAGAATCCAGAGGACATTTACATACATATGTACTGTTCAAAAGGGTAACATTATTTTTAAAAGTGTTACATGTACATATGTATTTTACAGGGAAGTAAATTGTTGCAAATTGTTGCAAACATTTTTCGGAAGAAATAATACCACAGATGGAAACATCGTCCCCACAGGAGCGATCCAAGTTTTACATCAGTTGGTGTATAAATGGTGTCCAAATTTGGACATTTTATCCCTCACTACGCCAATCGGGTACACTATCGCGGCGGATTTTATACATCATAAATTTGACAACACGATACTGCCACTGAAAACAAACACTTTGAAGTTACGCAGTTTAACTTTATCGCTGCAAAAGCTGTCCAAACCGGAAATAGATGCGATTGCCGAAATAATTAAAAAGTGTGGTGACTTAAAATATTTAGAACTTTCAGGAAATTTTGGGCTGGATAGAGAAATAATGGGTGTAATTTTGGAGAAAAATCTAATAATTCCCGTTACTCGGATTAAAATGGATTACGACGTGCTTCAATCCATCTCCAGGGTGGATGCGGAAACTAAATTTGCAAAGTAATTAAATTTTGCATTCATTAATTTTGATATATTTAAATTAACTTTTCAACTTCAACTACATATTCGTGTTCGCATTCATTTATTCAATACAGAATAGATAAATTATGCATTCATTATTCAAGAAATTCATGAATAATGAAGATGAATAATTTTCTCGAGATTTTCGAATGAAATAATATTGAAGAAATACATATTTATTAATTTAATATATATTCAGGAAGAATGAAAGAATAGTTTTATTCATTATTCATATCTTACGTCATGCTTGATACATGGGATATATCGTGAAGTCCATTTAACTGGACGAATTTAAGATTAAATAATTAAATAATGGATAATGCATAAATATTTATTTTCAAATTTTTAATAAATAAAAAAGTAAATGAATAACTAAATTTTTCCCAAAGTTTTAAATTGAATGAAGAAATATTTTTTGAACAGGTATGATTTTATTTTTCAGAATAAGTATTCATTTTCAAATTTGTAATACATAAGTAATGCATGAATATGTCTTTCCAAAATTGTCAAGTCGAACGAATTTTGAATGAAGAGCAACTTTTTGAATAGGTGTGCAAAAAAACTGCAAAATGAATTTTATTTTTGCAGATTACAAACTATGGATGTCATCACCTACGCGGATGAGGATCTTCTCTCGGACGAGGTAGAATTTCCAGTTGGCCTCACCACCAAATCAGACTGGGTCGCAGGGATCGTTAACATAGAAATTCATTCATTTTATAACATCATTCATGTCCTTGCCGTAAAGAATTTAGTATTTTTATTGTCTCAAAAGTTTCCGGTTTTATCCGATTTATCCGTTAAAGCCGCGGTGCCGGGAAAATCATTTATGAGTACGGATGAAGATGACCCTGTACCAGGCGAGGCGCTATTGGATGTCGCCATTTTGGGGAAGCTGACTAAATTATGCTTACGCAGGTGATACATACATGTTCACATTCATTCATTTATGCAGTAGTAAATTATTCATTAATTAGTCAATCAATGAAGGAATAATGAGTGAACAATTTTTTTTCAAAAATTTTTAATGCATGACCATTGAATAAATATTCATTCATTTGGTATTCATGAACAGTGAATAATTAATTTTATTCATTATTAATTTTTTGCACTATGCCTGATGCGTAGGGTAAATATGTTCAGAAACCTATGTAATACGGCGAGTCTGATAAGAAATCAATAATTAATACATACTCAATTTCAAGTTTTGAATGAATGAATAATGACAAAAATTGTTTTAATGGAATGAATATATATTGAAATATTTTTTATAATTCAGGTGGGACTGTTTTGCACACCGGGAGGATTTATTACACTTGATTGTTCGCGCGTTTCCAAATTTGGCGGAAATCAAATTCATCCATAGTCATCAAGTAGGTTCGGAAGAATGTCAAGGTTACCTGAAGGATACCTTGGTAACTAATACGCTGCAAATCCTGTCAGCCTTGCGACATTTGAAATCCATTCGGATTGAGTGTAGGTGGATATCAAATCTTAAATTGTTAGAGGCATTCCGTGTCCTGTGTGGTTTCAGAGGTGAGAAATTAAATTGAATCTGTATCGCTGGGACAATTCACGCAGTAGTGGCCTAATTCTACGATTTCTACTCCGATTAGAATCTCGAGTCCGAATCGGAATTCTGCTTTTTTGAGGTTTAGCCCAGATGTTAAGATCCAAAATTTTAATCTGGCAGAATCCCGCCTCCCGCCAAGTCGATAAGTGTGTTAGTAATTTCAGTGAATGCGAAATTAAATATGTACAAAGCGCAGAATCTGTCGTTTCTCGCGAAAATTTATCCTGACTACTAAATAGGCTTTACGAATGACTGCGTGAATTTTCTCACTAAATACTTACTTACTTGAGTATTTGTATATACATGAATTATAGAAATTATGTACCTTGTTAAAACAGAACTTGCCCACCTGTCACTTATGACGTTGCCAAAATCTATGTTTATACACGACCTGAATCTGACACAAGTTACAATCAATGTACAAGATATTAACTTTGAGAACGATCAAATTACGGATGAAGATGGCCTTGATTTTGCAATGGAAGCTTTGGAAATTGCGGAGGAATTGGAGCATATTCATTTTGAGATGATTAACTTTAAGGTAAGAGCAATGCTCTTAGAGCATAAATGGATTATTCAAATTTAAAAGTTACACAATGATTTTGATTAAATACGTATGTATGTATGTATTGCAGTTTTCAACTCGAAAGGATATAAAAAATGTGGAGTTTAAGAATGGAAAAATTTAACCCTTTAATGAATAATATCTATTAACTTTATATATGCATAAGAAACTGCGTCAATTCAACGATGTAAAAAGTATGTACTTTTTGAAGGAGGAATTAAATGGTTTTAAAAAAAACCTAGACCAAACTGAAAAAAAATCCAGAATTTAACATCTTATTATAATACAAATGAATTAATCCTTAACAATAAAAGTTTAACATTTAACACTCTATTGGCCTGATTTGCGGACCATACATGGCAATCGTTTCATGGCAATCATTACATTGCAATTCTTACATTGCAATCCTTATAACGCGCTATCATTACATAGCATTATCACTACATGGCTTTATTATTACATCGCACATCATTTCGTTGCATTATCCTTACATAGCTTTATCATTTCATAGCATATTCCTTTAAAATGAGACAGTAGAAATTGCGTACATATAAAATCAGGTCAAATATCAACCGAATAAATAATAATAAGAAAACTAACTTTTTAATCGTTATTAAATAATTGAAATTCTTAAAGACTATTTTTCTCAAGTACTCCATATGTTATAAGTCTAATCTATATTTTAAACCGTTTCTTGTACTTTTAGAGCTCCCATGAATTATAAAAAGTTGGTCAAACGGAACTGGTTAGAATTTACTAAATCCAGTTTTCAAATTGGCAATTTGGCATTAGAATCAAAATACTTGGCTGAGTTCTCGTATATATACTCGTCGGATACTGCAACATATCCAAATGGCATTAAAATTGAGGTTAATTTTAAATCGGAAATGTTTAACTGATCATAATAAAGTTCTCTGTTACTCATAATAATTACTGGATTTTGCAATGTGAGGGTGAAATTTCCCTAATCTTATCCTTCTTGTCGTCCGAGATCCCATAAGGTTTTTTCTCTATGTGGTCAGATTTAAACCCGTTAAAATTACTATTGAATACTCTAGGAATAATTATGGTCGAAAGTAGAATTAAATTATGATCAGTTAAGTAGGACCCGTTAAATAAATCGAGAAGTGTTGGAAATGCAACTTGAGCTAAAATCAGTTGGATATCGAACCCAATCTGAGCTTCGAAAAAAATTTTTAAGAAATTTAAGAGGGTTTTTACCTGAAATATAATTTTTTTAAGAGATTGATAGTAAATATAAATATCCGACGCGTCTGGTAATGAAGATGCTATGTATCTGTCATGCAATGCAAGGATAATGCTATGTAAAGATATGCCATGTAGTGATCATGCTATGTAGTGATAAAACTATGTAGGGATAAACCATGTAACTCACCGCCATGTAAAAATTGCAATGTAAGGATTGCCATGTAAGGATTGCCATGTATGGTCCGCGTACCTATTGGCCTGGGAGCAAGAAAACCCTCAAATTTAAACAGGTTTTACGTCGGGGAGAGAAAAAAGGCTAAGAATCTAACCTGACATACCCCTATTCGACCAGAACTAGAAATCTGATGTGAACATACATACTTAACTTGCTTCGAAATATGCTCCGCTATTGTTTTGCATTCAATTCGCGAATTTACCCTTTTTATTTTTTTAAGTGAGGAAGATTACTTGCTTGAGTATTTGCTGATCTATTTACTTACAGTGCTACTAATTCAAAAAGTTTAGTCCGTTCTGGATCTAGGTCCCCAATTATCATGACAATAAAATATGCACGTCACACTAATAAAATAAATAACTCGCTGGCCAATACAAAAAAAATTATCTTTAATAATTTCGCACCTGTTGGTCCAAATTTTAGCCCAAACTTTGTAACTTAATTATAATTTTACAGCCAAAGTGGAATAATCATATTTTCTTTGAGAGATATAATTCCCCATCCCCGCACCCCACCTTGAGTGGACTTAGCCCATTCGGCCCAATTTTCTGGTCAAGGTCGCATTCCTCGCATTTTTTCACCACAACCGCAACTGCATCCGGGCCACTGCATTTGAAGAGAGTTTCCTTGCAAGCCTTGTCACCTTCCAGCTCGCAAAAGTAAAGCTCCTTCCCACCGTAGTCCTTGAGAAGAGGGTGGAAATTATTTTAAAAAATACAATGAATGGGTCTTTGTTTAACAAATCTGGAATTATTTTGTTTTTATTTACAGCAATTGAAGCCTTGGTTGCGGGTGGACATTTACAATCCGCAGATCCTTGACCCACCGTCAGGCTGACCACGAGAAGAGTGACGGTCACAATGCTATGCAGCATAGTTGGAGATGGTGGGATTGGACGATGCCTTATAAATTTGATGCCTAAGAAAAATAATTAAATTAAAAATTATCGGAATTATTCAAGAGGCTCAGACCGATAAAAAGTGGAAAGTAGAGGTGACGCAGAAGCATAATGGTTTCAACCAGGCAGCGCAACTAGCATACCATAAACTCCTCCCTGGAAAATTGGGTGATCGACTGATGATGAATTTTGGCCAATCAGGTCATATGGTGTCGAAAAAAGGTCATGGCAATGAAAATAAAATAGAAATAACTTTTTAAGGTCACAAAACCCTTAAATTTTGAATTTCAAGTCGATCACCCAATTTTACCCAGTCAGGTCATATGGTGTCGAAAAAAAGGTCATGGTGATGAAAATATAGTCTGCATACATTTTTAAGGTCAGTATACCCTTAAGTTTTGAATTTCAAGTCGATCGCACATGTTCACATTTTGGATCCGTTCTTGAGTGTCCCTAAAAAGATAAATGGATCCAGGGAGGAGTTTATGGTATGCTAGTTGCGCTGCCTGGTTTCAACCTTCTGCACAAAAGACATTGTCCTGCGGGGGTGCATTGTTTTGAATATTATTAAATTAAATAAAACAAGGGCATAAAACGCGAGAGGCAAATATGTATGCCCGGTAAGTAAGTTACGGGACAATTAGGTAACACAAAACAAAAAAAACTATTGTTATGTACCTAAATATGTGCAAAGGAATTGGAGTAAAAATTAATTGCAAAAAATCTTATATGCCTACAAGTGGATGGGGTCGAATAAGATGAAATGTGGTAAATCTTATCTTTTCTCCACTTTTGGACCTGGCTCCCTCCATCAGCCAGTCCAGAGCATGATTTATCGCCGTAAGCTTTAGTATAGTCTCATTCACTTATCGCCACGACCGTGTTGACTGCAATTCGGATGAGAAACAAGAAACTATGGTAAATAATATGAAAATTATGATATGCGGAAATAGCTACAAACTCGAAGACGACCGCGTATTGTACATGTGTTGACGTTTTTTTACTCAGCGACGTGGGAAAGAAAGAGAAAGTTTACTAAAAAATTAAACTTTATCCCAAATATTTTTTCAAATTGGCCATCGATCGGAATAATAAGCGACATGTGATTCATAATTTTTGGCTAGATTTTTTGATACAATTCGTTACACAAACTCGACCTAGATTGAAAAAGGTTCCGTTGTGAGTACCCCCAAAATAGAGGACATCAAATGATTACCTTATCAATCAAAAAAGTGTTTATTAAAAGTTCAAAAATTCGAATGAAATACATACAAAACAAATTTAACAGTAATATTTTATTTTTCCACGTATGCACAATCCAGTAAGCATTTTTCCCAGAAGGTTGATCTACGTCCTTAATTTTTCGCATGTTTGCAAAACCACTCCACTGCCTCGTTAACGCTAACTTTTCCATCCTTATTTGCATCAGCCTCCTTAACAAAATCGTCAAACTCAATTCTTGGATAGGATGGGTCATGCTTCAACAAAAAGGGGAAAATCGCCTTGAATTCCGACTCATCGATAAGCCCATCGTTATCCTTGTCGATTGCGGCCACGTGCACTCGGACGAGTTCTTTAGTGTCATTAATTACTCCCAGAGAGGCGACGCAAACGTCCAAAGGAAGTTTGCCGTTGTACACTTCACGAAAAAAGGTGACGTATCCGTCCCTCTGTTCCTTCGTGGCGTCCATGCCTAAAGCCTGCAGGAAGGCGTCCATATCAGCCACGTCGATCGCATTGTCGGAAAATGTTGGCATTTGCTTTAAAGCGGCTTCCACCTCGACTTTGGAAAATACGGGGTTGTGCACCATCTGAAAAAATGATATTTTTTAACTTATTTTCTCGAGATTATGAAAAACAAGTAAAAAATCATGTTGCATTAATTGACCACGTGGAGCTGTGCCTGTATTTATTTTTAGTACATACATATATAAGTAACGCTTAAATTTAAATGCATCCCAAGTAAAAATTGGAACAGCTCTCCTGCATAGATTTTACCCGAGGTTGGGAAAAAACTTGACCTAGTTTTCTCCATAACACTTTACGCAAACCAATCTGCGCAGAAAAATGTGCGTAATCATTAAAATATGGCTGCGCAGAATAAAACAGAATTTGTCGTTAGGATTATGTAAAAAAAAATATTCAGAACACAAGATACTCCAAGGTTTTGCTAATTACTGCAGAATTCGGCACAATAATTTCTTACAGCGTAGATTTGGATTTATGCAGTCGTATTTATTCAAACTCTCGGCTTGGTTTCTGAAGAATACCCCAATTTTTAAGATATATATATACAATGAAATAGTGTTTTTTTCGCGCTCTAACGATTTTCGAGTTAGATACCTTAAAAGTTGCGTAAAATTGAGTAGATCAAAAATCCGTAATAAAATTGGGGGGCCAATTGGTGGATTTTGAGATCTGAGCCAAAATGTGCGAATTTTTTGCAAATTTTGAGTTTTATGTCAAATTCGTTCAAACCTGGTCAAATATAACCGGAAATAATTTTAAAAATTATTTTGGACCAGAATTTGGCCGCTGCCTCGATTTGAGGCACCACTTTTCCAATATATTAAACTTTGCAAAATATTTGCATTCTCCATATTAGCTATTCACGATCGAATAATGTGGTTTTGGTTAGCATTTTAAGTTAACTCATAAGTCTAATGATGGATCGGACTTTGATAAAATCTGAGTAGCTTATAACAAACTTTGTAAACAACCGGAGATGCTGTTAATAATCCGAAATTCTGTAAATTACTCTTCTTTGTTTGTAATTATTTATATTTAGCCACTGGCTTGAATTTAAAGAACGCAGTTATAGAACATTTTACTGCAAAATTTGAAAGAAAACGAAAGTCGAATATAAATAATGAGTTTCTGTTTAACATTGCAACGGATTCCTTATATGCAACGTTGCCAATTCGGAGTTTTGAAATTAGTGCAAAGTTTTGGTTGCCACTCAGAAATTTGTTAATGCCGCGTCGACTTGTTAATAATGACAATGCACTTCAAGTAGGGTGAACATAGTTCATTGTAGTTCATTTTATTTTTAGTGAAAAAATTGTACTTACATACATATGTATGTATACGTAAAATTACAAGATATCTATTTGTGACCTTATTTACCTTATCTCTCCGATTTAACTTGTATGACTTCTTTAATTAATTATATGTAAGAATGGTATTCTTAATTAACTTTCCTAGGTCAATTTGCTCTTTGTTTGATTACGGTTCAAGATTAAATGCGCAAATGGACTGGAATTCCGATACATAAAATCCAGTCTTCTTGGGTTACTTATATAGTATTTAGACAGACAATTATACAACAAAGTATAGAAATAATTGTAGATCGTTGTGCTAAAGATTTTAGCTCACACAAAAACGGACTGATTTATTCTCTGAGATGTCACACATATTTATGCACAAAAGTCGGTATATATTAAAATACATTTTAGAAAGGATAACGGAGATTACTATTTCTAGATCGACCTCACTTAACAGCTATAAGCTGATTTGATACGTGGTATGATCATGTGAAATGTGAAATGTAAATGAGGAAACTTTTGCTTGTAATATCCATATCTCGGCCTAATTCAGATTGCACTAAAATAAAGCATTTACCGGATGTATGTGCCCCTGTACCTTGGCATGGATGTCCGTACTTACAAAAGGATAAGAACGCAATACTCATTAAGTGACTTGCATGCTAATATGTATATGATATGTAATGCTTTAAGTTCATATTAACTGTACTGTCATGGAAAATGTTTCGACAAATTTCTCATACAAAATGCTGTAATCTCATTATATACATTGTCAGGCGTTTAAACTCATTAAATACGTATAAAATATTAATTTTGCTTAAGGGACGTTCATAAATTGTGTAATTATATGCGATAATTATGTCTGTGATTTTCTAGACCTCCCCTCTCCCACTTATCCACGAGCACTAGTTTTCGACTCGTGGACGGAAAGGGAGAGAAAAGTTACTCGAAAAAATTGAACTTTGCCGACAGCATTTTTCTTCAAAGGGTCCATCGAACAGAATGAAAAGCACCTTGTGATTCCTAATTTTTGGTTGGATCTTTTATATAACTCGTTACACAATCCCGGTATAGCTTGAAGAAAAAGGTTCCATTGTGAATACGCTAAAAAATTCTAACAAGTACATAAATAAATTGTAAGTACATAAATCAAATTATTTACTCTTCAATCAGAACATTCTTTATTAAAAGTTCAAAAACTGGAATGACATTAATACATCAGATAGTTTACAATAATACATACTTGTTCTAATTTTTCCAAAACACCGTTTATAATCCACTAAACCTTTTTCCCAGACGGTTGCTCTCCGTCCTTAATTTTTCGCATGTTTGCAAAACCACGCCACGGCCTCGTCAACGCTAACTTTTCCGTCCTTATTTGCATCGGCTTCCTTAACAAAATCAGCAAACTCAATTCTTGGATAGGATGGGTCATGCGTCAACAAAAAGGGAAAAATCGCCTTGAACTCGGCTTCATCGATAAGGCCGTCGTTATCCTTGTCGATTGCGGCCACGTGCACTCGGACGAGTTCTTTCGTGTCGTTAATTACGGCCAGGGCCGGAATGACAACGTCAAAGGTAAGTTTGCCGTTGTGCACGTCGCGGAAAAAGGTGAAGTAGCCGTCCCTCTGTTCCTTCGTGGCGTCCATGCCCAACGCAACCAAGAAGGCGTCGATATCCGCGATGTCGATCGAGTCGTCGGAAAATGTAGGCATTTTTCTGAGAGCCGCTTCCACTTCGTCTTTAGAAAATACGGGGTTGTGCACCATCTGAAAAAATTAAGTGTAAGTGTGTGAATTAAAATTAAGTGTGTAAATTGCGGAATTACGGATAAAATTCAAAATTATGAGAAAAATATGTATTTAAAAGCTGCATAAATTAGTCATGGGGGGTCTATTTAACTATTCATGCATTGAATATTTGTGCCAGTTACAGAAATCTATCTAAATTCATATCGGTACAATATTTGTTATAAATTAAGCAGGAGAGTGGATATACAAAATAGCATTATAACAATTTGGAATTAATCTTTCTTAGGGGCCGTTCATAAATTATGCAAAGCAAAACTTTTGATTTCATAGACGCCCCGCACCCCCTCCCCCATTAAAATTTGCCACATATGCACGATTGCCTTAAACCCCCCCCTCCTTTTTCTTGCGTTACATGATTTATGTACGGCCCCTTAATAAAAACTCCATTTTTAAGGATCGTAGTGCATTTTAATCCGTATGTAATTGATTTTATTCAAGATGTAATTTTCATACGCATGAATTTTTATTTATTTGAACAAATGAACAAAATATGTAGGTATGTATTAGTGATTTACCTTGTCAACTGGTGTGACTTCTTCACTCAGTCGTTAAAAAGAATATGAGAAGGCTTTGGACTTCGTAAAAAGCTAGCCTAGGTCAACACGTTCTTTGTTGGATCACGGTTCAAGATCAAATGCGCACATGGGTTGGGGTTCGAGCCTATAAAATGCCAAGAACTTCATTAAAATCCAGTTTTCTTGAGTAGACAGACAATTATGTAACAGCTTATTTTCTGCCAAGCCTCAACTATTTACAAGACTGGAATCTCACCACATATTTATTTATTTATTTCACAACATTATCAGGCATTTGCATAGTTATGTAAATATTTACGCGACCAGCCTTGAATGCATTTTTATTACTTATTATGTAGACAAGGTATGTCCGATTTGAGTAATTTGTTTGAGTTTTGCATAACTATTCTTATATTCTTCTCGAGCTACCCATTATTCCAGTCTAGACAAACCGAAGGAATAAATTAGTGTGATGAAACAAAATAAATTAAAAAGATCCAGCACAAACTTGCTAACAATTTTGTTGCTTTAAGTGCTTGCGAAACTGATGCATAAATACATACATAACTTTTTACATATTTATGTCTACGAACATGCTAATTTTCTAAAATTTAGCACACTAATTGATTTGTAGTGTACATATGTAGGTTAAAAAGGATACATAAACTCAGAAAAAATTCCTGCAGAAAATGCAGGAAAAAACTGGATAAACTGCAGAAAAAATTCACACAAAAAATTTAGTGTAAATTTGATAACAAAAATAATTCATTTGTACGATCCTACACACTCTTAGAGATTTGGTATATTTAGTGACACAGGTTTTACAATTACACCTGTTTGTAAGAATTTGACACCGGTATTGGAAAAATTAAACACCAAGCCATTTAGTAAGCGGATACTAAATACATATGTATCAATACCACTATTGTGAAGTAATATTTATTGATATATGTATATGAATACATGTTGGTATTATTTTCACACTGGATTTCTAAGAGGGTAGGTTCATATAAGTCAAACACATAGCATACATATGTATGTGTATATGTAAAGTCGATCCGTGCATGCATCATACCCTGCTAAACATGTGTTGAAATTAGTACGCCCATAGACTCTAATGATATGTACATACACAAAATGGAAAACAAAATTTGTTTTCATTCTCAAAATTTCATATACATAAATTCGACAGCAATAATTCTCCTGAAAGGTGTTTATTTAATTCGTGCCGATGTTTTTTTGAGAACCCGGGGCTAAAAAGTCTAGATAATTCGGGTAATCGAATTATCTAAGATTTTTTGTCTCTATTTTTTAATAAAATATTTTTTTGGTGCACTCTAAATAAAGTTGAACACATAGATAAACATCACTAGCTACAATTTTCTCATGCTAAATATTTTATCATTGATCACTTGACAAAACCTTGAAATCTGTCTTATCATTGACAGAGTTAGAAATGTTAGATAAGTCTACAACCATCCTTTCTGCAAATTGAAAAATTTCACAACTTGGTAACAATAGACATATTTAGAGCCAAATCTAAGATAGGGCTCCACGTGTGATTTCCTTCAAATTGTTCTGAGGGAGATAAAATCCCACATTCTGAGGGAGATAAAATCAGCTGAAGAATAGCCACTTGATGTGAATGTATCGGCGTTTTTTACTCTCACGCAACTGGGGCAGGTTGAGACTGGCCGAAGGGCTTATAAAAGTGGTTCGCAAATGCGAGCTAAACTACTCGTTCACAAATTAACTCTGAAATTTTTCCCGCCTCTGAAACTCCCATCTGCAAGGCCAAGAATGAAACAATAAATGCAAGAATCATCTTCATGATCAAAAGAAATTAATTAAATTGCTCAATTTTATTGAATAATATTCACAATATCTTGTAAGATTAGTTCAAATAGTGAAGTGCTCCGTGTTCCACAACTGCCTATGATTTAAGCCCAGGTGAAGGTAAAGCCAGTCCCTGTAACACTGCTATCACTTCTAAACGTCACCAAGGCCAGACCTGTCGGAAGATTGAACGGAGTTGGGAGACTAGTTCCACAGAACCTGCAACCGAATTAATGTTATTCGAATGCCTCAAATAAAGTCCATGACTACCGTGGAGCTCACTTAGCAAGCTGCGTGTATTCGTTGTTTTGCCAGGTAAGAACCGAAACAGCGTCGTATGAGCATGTAGCATCATTTTCAACATCCAGCCTAGTGAAGGCCAATGTTCGAGTTCCAGCAACTTCAGGATTGACAATGAATAAAGCATTTTCGGAATTAGCGTACTGACCGCCTCCGACTGGGTAGCTGTAAGAACCAGTAGGTGTGGAGAGAGCGGCAAAACCGGAGAAGGATGGAGCGCCACCTGCCAGACCACTAGAATACCATTCCAAACTAAATCCTGTGTTCGCCCCAACCGCAACGGTGAGGGTGACGAGGAAAAAATTTCCATTGAAGGTGTAATCTTCCCCGACGTTAGCACTAAAATTGATAAAGCAATATTGAGAATTTAGGGCAGGGGCTATTTGAAGGTTATTTCGGAACACTTACATTTGGACATGTTGCCCAGGTGTACCAGCATATGCATTAAATTCGGTAAAGTAAATGCCTGATCCGCCGATAAGACCAGAAGATACAAGTCTCGCCCGAGTGTTATCAAAGGTAGGCTTGACAATCCAGATACAACTTTGTCCGGCTGGGATGTCAGCATCGAGTTGAAAGTTAATTGCTGCCGAGCTGGCCTCGATTTCTCCACCGCATGAGGTCACTATTTTTAAAATTCGGACAATATAGCTATGTACCAATGGATGTGACTGCAGTAATGTCTATGGTATACCGGTTTCTACAGGAGTTGGGTCTTCTTCTACCGGGACCGTTTCGATAACGCGTTGAATAACTACCTGAAGCGCAGCCCAAACTTCTACAGGTTCAGAGTAGAATAATTAATTATCTCCACATTAATTTCTTGAGGAAGTTTTGTACAAACCGAGTGCATTTGGTATAATTTGTTCTGGTGGAAGAACAAAAGAATTTCCTCTCATCTCGATGGTGGCTGTATACTTGATACCATGATTCTTTGCCCAGTCGTAGCTCGTACCACCAGCACCATCTACAATAGATAATAGGCATGCCTAAATGTTCCCTGAAATGAGGCCATAATTGTGTCTTACAAAGAATATCAGCTCCTTGCCCAGCTTGATATACGGTTCCAGACACAGCTTGCAACGCAGCTACAGCGGCTTGTCCCAAACTCAACTGAAAACGAAGAGTTTTCCATTAAGTTCAGCACAAATTTTACCAAAAAACTGATGAAGTTTACCAGGGCTGGGAAATCTGGAGGATAAGCACCTGCTGTGTAACCCCATGGAATAAGCCACAACTAAAAAAGATGAACATTTACTCCAAATTGGAAACTTTCCAATCTTCTCTAACACATTTAAAATTACGTTAGCATATGAATGCATCGTGATGTACGCGTAGAACTGCACTCCAGCTGCCTCTGCCTCCCTTACGAATCGATCAATGGCTTGCGTCTCGGGCTCCGAGAAGGGTGCCGACCCATAATAAATGTCAGAGCATGGATCGGATGATGTGGATTCTCCGGCTATTATAAACGTGTCAAAATATGATAATATGCATTTACAGAAGCCGTAGCTTACCCCATTGGAAGTCGAAATTTCGATTAGGGTCACATCCCATGCAGGAACTTCCTGCATTAACGCTTCGTGTTTTCCTCCACATGCGATCATTTGTCCGCGAATATTCGTATCCATCAGCGTTGATCATCGGTATGACGTAGATGTCGACTTCTTGTAAGATGGCAGTGTACGAGTCAGCGTTAGTCAATATCTCGTTAATCACCCAGGTCCCCGTTGCGCCTGCGATCCACTCTCGGGCATGTATGTTCGAATCAAATAATATAGACTTTTTGGGCGGCCCGCCATTTGAGAACTTGACGACATGGATGTCACGTCCCTCAGTTGTTTGTCCAATAACGGAAACCGCGGCGATATTAGAGTTTATGGTGGTCAGAAATTCTACAATCTGGTAATAGGAGAAACATAAAATAATTTACATATTACATTTTTAAAATATCACTTTTTCTCATAATATTAACTAACACTGTCATAGGTTTGATACGACGTCCAGTCGATCCTTCCAGTGGACGCTTTTGCATTTGCGACTCGTTCTGCTTCCACCAACCTACATACATAAATATGGAAGTTAAGAATTGTTAATAGATTACAAGAAATTTTAAATTCCCTTTACGTTTCAACGTCCTCAAATTTAACAGTGTACTCCATTCCGTGCTCGCCAAACATCTTAAGCAGTTCTGGGATTTGTTCTGGCGCCGCCATTATGTCGGTGGCTCCCAGTCCGTTTGGTGATGTCCAAAAATCATAGTCGCTGCCAAGATAAAGCACCCTCAAGGCGTCTAATTGCTCTTTTGTAGTCGCCAACGTAGTGAAGACTTTGTACCTGTAAATGATTTTTTTAAAATTATTGTTAACTATTAGGGCGTTAATTAATGTGGAGTTCCCACCCCTTAAAATGACGAAGTCCGGTCTCACGCCCAGAGGCGACCGCGACAAGGATCAGGACGAGAAAAATTGCTGCCTTCATGGTGAGATGAGTGGCAAGGTGTGGCTGTTGCTATGCAAGGAAGGCCAGTTTTAATACTTCACTTTCAACATTAATTATGTGGAATTTAATAAAGATTAGATTGTGTTGGGCAACTTGGGGGGTGACAGGAATTACGTAGCGAATGCGCACCAGGGTTCGGAAAAATCCAGGGTTTTAATCAAAACATGACAACCCAGGTGTTTTAATGGATTTCTATGGTTTTATTGGGTTGAACATAATTGGTTTTGGGTACTCATCAAAAAAATCCTACACTATGTATGTATTGAGAATCCAGTCCTAACCATGCACAAATCCTCCTCGTCCATATTGTAAATTGTATCTGTTCCGAAATTAAGTTTTTGTACCACTGGATGGTAACGAATGTTGCTCATTGTTGATTATTTCCAGGCCTTCTAAAATTACGATATTTATGAAATAAACAGATTAGCTCTAGTGAAACAGCTTTATTAAACGTTTGAGAGGTGTTTCCAACTTTTAGAATGCAGTTTTAGGGTAAAATTATGTTAAACCCCAATAAACCCCATTAAAACCCAAAAAACCCAGCCCAGTAAAACCCTGGGTCGGAATACCTTGATGCGCACGGTCCGAGTGTGACGAACCAATTTAGATTTCCCGAAGGCTGAGAATCAATTATACTTATCCTGACAAGACAATTCAGACAGAAATCCCGTATGTTCCAGATATGTAACCTGAGTTGGGAATTTGCATTAGGTAATAGTTGGATTACACATTCATCTGTATAAATCCAACTGATGAATCGAATCCTTTCCAAATTTAAGTGTGCAGGTTAATTCAAAGTCAATGTGGTTTTGGTGAGAAATATCGGAGGATAATAAAATTTTATTCGTTGAATATACATAGTTAAATGTCCTTGTTGTGAGCAGGATTAGTTAATGATTATCGTATATACATACTGTGAATGAGGCTCCTACAAGTATGTATATGTGAATATACATATGTATAGTTGAGGAAAACAGTTTTTATCAGTTTGTGCACTAAAATAACAAAAACATGACAATAATGTGCGTAGTTATGTATGCATATAAATATGTGTGATACATGGCTTTTGTAATCAAAATCATGAAACAATCATCAACAATGTATTATATTTTCAAACGACGGCCATAGCCCATATCGCTACAGGAATTTTTGGATAATTTAAATACGTATGTATGATTAAATACCTAAATATCTACCTCTGTATAATAAACAATCTTATATAATCACTAAAATTGGTCTAAAGTTTGAAAGCATTCAGTCAAAAAATAGAAAATATTTTCGCATAGTTTGGAGTTGGTGTGCATGCTTTTATTTTTGATCAAAATCAAAATTTCATATCAATTCGACAACAATAATTTCTCCGAAACTAGGTATATTCTTTAAAAAAATACAATTCAATCATGCAATTATTAATAGCCGATTAGTTCCTTAGTTTTTCGCATTTTTGCAAAACCACTCCACAGCCTCGTCCACGCTTACTATTCTATCCTTAGTTGTATCGACTTCTTTGAGAAAATCGTCAAACTCAATTCTTGGATAGGAAGGGTCGTGTTTGAGCAAAAAGGATAAAATCTCTTTGAATTCGGATTCATCAATAAATCCGTCGTGATCCTTGTCGACTGCGGTGACATGAACTCGGACGAATTCCTTCATGTCGTTAATCACTCCGAGGGCAGGGATGCACAGGTCAAAGGTCAATTTGCCGTTATGCATTTCGCTAATAAATTTGACGTAGGCATCCATCTGTTCCTGGGTGCAGTCATAGCCCAACGTGGCCAGGAAGGCGTCCATGTCAGCCACGTCGATAGAGTCGTAGGAAAATGTCGGCATTTTGTGGAAAGCAGCTTCCACCTCGTCTTTAGTGTAACGCCGGTTGTGAGCCATCTGAAAAAAATTAAGCTCAAGAAAGGGTGAAATTTTAAAATTTAAAAAAACGCTTCCGGTATAAATTGGCCACGGGGATCCATCTATTTATCCTGGCATTGATTTTTTTTATTTACCAAACAAGTTTAAATTCATGTTTGTAAAATGGTTATTATAAATTTACTGTGAAAGACGATGAACACAAATCTGCACTTACAATGATTTAGTAATATGTACAAATAAAGAATTTATGTATGCTTCTTAAGGACCGTTCATAAATTATGGCATTATATGCTATAATTATATGCGATTTTCTATTCATACCCCCGCTAACATTTGTCATCAGGCACGATAGACTTAGATGTTTGCCTTTCGCCCTCTTGCGTTACATAATTTATGGATGGCCCCATAGCAAAAACTCTATTTTTTAGAGTGATAATGCCACTATAATGCATATGTAATTGATTTTATTCAAAGCGTACTTTTCATAGACGTGAATTTTTATTTATGCGGAAAAATTCTCAAAATTTATTAATGATTTTAATCTATTTCGATTTACCTTATCCGCTTCGATTAAGCTTTTGTGCCTTCCTTAATCTGTCCTATGAAAGAATACTACAAGGCTTTAGAATTTGTAAATAGCTAGCCTAGGTCAACACGTTCTTTGTTAGAGCACGGTTTAAGCTCAAATGCGCACATGGGGTGGTATTTGTGCGAATTAAATACCATGAACTTCGTCAAAATCCAGTTTTCTTGGGTTAATGGGTACACAGACAGTTATGCAAGAGATTACTCTTTGCCAAACCTCAATTATTTACCAGACTGGAATCTCTCAACATATGTATATTTATGGCGCAACATTGTCAGACATTAGAAAAAATATTTATGTAAATATTTATGCGAGCAGCCTTGAGTGCATTTTTATTATGTAGACTGGTCTCGTCCGGTTTGAGTAATTTGCTAATGAATTGCATAAGTTTCTGATATTATTTCAGTTCAGACAATCCGAAGGAATAAATTAACGTGATAAAACAAAATAAAAACATTCTTATTTTAATCCAGCCTAAAGTTGTTGGATAATTTTTGCTTCAATTGCAAACCTGATATATAAATACATAAGTACATACATACATATACATATGTATAGATAGATATGTATGTATGTATAATTTTACCCAACGTGAATCCCATAAGATTTGATTATATGTAATTCAATATGCATACACATGTCAGGATGGACAACTTTATCAAAGTACATACTTACGTATTCATTATCAGCAAATTGAGATGTACGACCAAATTCAGTAGCATTGGAAGGCCAGAAGAGAAGATTATATACTTATGTACTTACTTTGGGCATACTCACGCACAAGTCTGCATATTAGCATACATATCTCGCAAATCATGTAAATTAACCTTACAAATTATAGAAATTTCACAAAACATTTTACAAGGAAAGAATTTTTTGTCCACAAATTTACCCAGCAAACTGAGATGTTGCTTCTTGAACCGGGTTGTACTTTAAGAAGTGACGCGAATAATGTGAGACGTTGAAGTGAGTATGCCCAACAGATTAAAAAGCATACAAATGTAGGTTTTAATTTAAGAGAAAAATTCATGCTAAAAATTTAGCGGAAATTCTACAACAATAATAATTTGATATCTGCAAACCTATGTATGTATGTACACTGTCAGAAATTTGGTATATCTATATATTTAGTAACTCAGGTACCTATTACTTATCCATACCGTTTAATTAAAATTATACTCATTTATTTGAATACCTCTTGGTATTATTTGCATACTGAATTTCTAAGAGTGTAGGCACACACAATTCAAACAAGTAGATTATTTTTCTAATTTTTCGCATTTTTGCAAAACCATTCCACAGCTTCGTCAATACTGACTTTCCCATCCTTATTTGTATCCGCTTCCGTAACAAAATTGGCAAACTCTACTCTTGGAAAGGATGGGTCATGTGTCAGCAAAAATGGGAAGATCGCCTTGAATTCGGACTCGTCAATAAATCCGTCCTTGTCCTTGTCCATCGCCTTGACGAACACTTTCAATATTTCGATCGTGTCATTAACCGCGGCCAAACTAGTTGTGCAAACTTCTAAGGGAAGTTTTCCGTTGTAAACTTCGCGAAAAAATGTGACGTATGCGTCCCTCTGTTCTTTATTGCAGTCAAAGCCTAACGCTTTCAGAAAAGGCTCCATGTCCGCGACATCGATCGCGTCATCGGAAAAAGTCGGCATTTTCTTGAACGCTTCGGCCACTTGGTCCTTAGTAAATGGAGAGTTGTGAGCCATCTGGAAAAAACAGGACAGGATTAAATTTGAGACATTTTTTGGTGAAAGTTTGAACCAATCATTTTAACTGTTTTTTAAGGATTTTTGCGATATTTTTAATCATTCATTTTTTAATGAATATTTAAATTAAAATGCTTCTATCGCTTAAATCAAAAGATGTTTCTTTCCTTTCAAAAAATAAATCCTGTATTCCAATTTTTACAAAATTCTAATGTTTAGTGTTTTTACAAAAAAGTACACCCTATTTGTTATTTTTATAAGTTTTGTCAATCCACCAAATTAATAAACTTTGACAATCTGGGTGACTTTGATCCTTGTGTTTCGTACAAACTACCTTCCTAATAAATAGATACAACATTTCAGTACGCAGACAAGGTTTTGAATTTTGCCAAATTCATTTCAAATTCGTTATAAACGGAAATTTGTCAGCAAAGTTTTGGACATTTTCTGCTTCACACGTTTTTTATTAACATTCGTACTCATACATACATATGTAAAATCTAGGGAAACTTTGTATGACTATAACTACATAACTTACCTTATCCAATTAATTCGAGATGATTTGTCTATTTTACTCACAAAATTTTGTCAACTTTTTGTACAAGCCTGAAGTGTGGCACATTAGGTTAACAAATATGTTCTTTGCTGGATCACGGTTCAAGGTCAAATGTGCTAATGTACCCGGATTTCGGGTCTCTTTGTACGTAAATAAAACGCCAATTAATTCAGACCAGGCAAGTTCATTTGGCTTAATGAGCAGACACTTATGTAATGATTACAACCCAATCAGTGTAGCATAATATCTGTCTTGAAAGTGATCACTAAAACACGGATTCCACTTGATTGCATAAGTACTTTTAAGCAACTTTTTTTGCAAAAAGTAGTAATAATTAGTCTTACATACATACATACGTGTAGGAACATACATACATGTATGTAATTGTAACACTTGTATTAGACAACTTTATTAAAGTATTGATATTTTAAATACATACATATGCAAATTTATTCGCAATTAACAAATTGGGATATATTTACGACCTAATTTAGTAACATTAGAGTTTGTATTAGAGAAGAATATGTGCATAAATAATGGTGGACCTATTTAGATATAATAAATATGTACTCATGACAAGCTTATTCGCATACCACACAAATTGGCGAGATTTCGCATTCGAAACCTTTTTTTCTGGAAAAGAATGTTTGTTTTTCCTTCTTAAGTTTACTCAGCAAAAAATCCAAGTGCTGCTTATCTTGCCAGATTCTTCGAGTAATCACCGATGCGAATTATGCAGGAGGTTGAAGTGAGTACATCAGGGCCGTAGGAGCACTGGTTTTAGGTGGAGAGCACTCTCCAGGCCGGACGGCCCGAAGGGCCGTACCGGCTGGGTGATGCAGACACTAGATATTATTGTCCCTCCGAAGTACATCTCACAAGTCAACTTATACATAGAACCTAACTTCCCAAACCAACGCTTACATAGTTATAAATTGAATCCTGATTTTGTTCACTTCTGAAAAGTTTCAATGATCTCACAAAAAGATACAATACTCAAACTTAAGCCTTCTGGGACGATTTCTGCAAATCGGTTGAGGTAACATACCTGCAGTTGAAAAATTTTAAAGTTTGAGTTAATTACCTTATCAAACAATTTTTCATATGTAATTGAAAAGGCCGTGGCACTATTAATCGAGCATTAATAACTTAACCATTCTATCTGTGTCGGCCCACTCATGCAAAATGTTGGTGTCCTATGACTATTTCGAATATTTTGTATTAAATACTTAACCCATAGCACTAAATAAAATATCCCTACTTCACCAACTATTTTTTGGTCTAAACGACCTTTAAAGTCTTTCATAACAATGGCGAGGAGCATGTTCCTCTTTAATTTTCTCAAAATCTATGAATGTTTTCTAGCATTTCCGAACGAAAAAAACTGATTTGCATGCGTTACCTTTTTTCTAGGAGCTTTAATTCACGAAAGTGGGGTGTTACAAATGCTAATACACATCTGTCAAACAGTGGACAAGTAGAAATTGAATTCTGAAAACGATAACCAAAATTAGCTTGATGTACATAACTTATTCAATAATTTCTGTTTCGTGAAATTTGGCTCATCTCTGCGACATCCAAAATCTGAAGATTTTGAAAACCGGTTTGAAATTGAGTTTTTGCAAATTTAAGTAACCCGATTATCTATTCTGTGAAAAACGGTTCCAAACCGTTTTTAAAGGCCCTGTATTAGTTAGAATTTAAAAAACTTTCTCAGTACAGTAATAAGCTACACTCTTAGCAACTTGGTAAAGAATTCTTAATAAGCGTCTTTACCGAGCTCTTGGTAATTACGCGAACTACAAAAATTATACGGGGTTATTACCGTATCAATACCAAACAGGTAACTGGCCCTCCACCGCAATGTTCTAATTTATCTTTATAATTTTGGAAACAAACTCCCACCAGCCGGTAATTATATCCTACAAATGTTGATAACGCTCTTTACCATAATTTTAGTAAAGTGCAGTACAAATTGTTTCCATTGTGGTGCTAATGCGATCTACATTTCGGTGTAGTTTATTACCATGGAGGTAAGAATTTTAATAAATTTGGTGTTAATTGTGAGACGCTAAACAGTGGCGCATTTGTTAGTTTTAGTTTCCGCTTAGCTCAACTCAAGTCAACATGGCGAAATTAATCCAGTGTCCAGTGCTGCCCGTGGAAAAAAAACTGATAAAAACTTCTCGAAATTATATAGACTTTTTGGAAACAGGTAAGTATCAAATTATCATAGGTAGGCGCCTTATTAAGATGGTGATCGAAAACCATCATAATAGGAAAGAGTTAATAATAATTTTATGCGTTTATTTTTTCAGTGAGACACAAATTTAAGTTGGAAATCCGAGCAGATTTAAATTTCATGTAAATACATATGTATACATGTGTATGTATGTAACTCAATAGTTTTCATTGTACTTAAAGTTAATAATTATGTAAGTATGTTTCAAAACTGTTTTAAAATAAATTTAATTGGGAATCTGGGGAATCTGCACAACATTTGGTAATAATGGGGTATACGTAAAACAAAGCATTAATACCAGTATGAATAGCACACCGTGTACAAAGTGGTATGGTTTATTACCAGGCGGTAAGCATTTTACTACAAATTGTAGTACATCTGTCATACATCATGGTATTAATTTTATCCCAAAAAGTGTTCTTTATTACCACTCCGGATTCAATTAATTTCTTTACCAGCTGGTGGTTATTATTACCGTTTCTGCAGAGTCATATCGTCGTACTAATTCAGAAAAGACCTAAGTGCAGTGGATGCTTTATTCAGAAAAGACCTAAGTGCAGTCGATGCTCAATTCAGAAAAGACCTAAGTGCACAGAAAAAAAGCAAAAAAAGACCTATGTGCAAGTATGTATTTACTTATGGCTAAATCTTGCCAAAATGATTTTTCATATATATCGCGCGATTTAGCCACAAGTAAATACATACTTGCACATAGGTGTTTTTTTGCTTTTATTCTGTGCACTTAGGTCTTTTCTGAATTGAGCATCGACTGCACTTAGGTCGTTTCTGAATTAAACACCGACTGCACTTAGGTCTTTTCTGAATAAAGCATCCACTGCACTTAGGTCTTTTCTGAATTAGTACGACGACATACGTGTGCATTTTGGTAATGATTTGGTAATGATTTTATTTAGAGTGTATAATTTAATTTAAAATCAAGTTTAAATATGAACTTGAGATTTTCGGGAATTTTAAATTTATGTATATCAGAAATTAAGAATATTTGTGGCCAGATAAAGGTACAATTTTTACAAAAATATAGACTTAACCAATCATGAAAATTCTGAATCGATTTACGAATTTTCACGCACGATGGAACGCTTAAAATAATGACTGGAAGATATACGAAATAAGAAAAGTCCTTGAAAGTTTTTTTATCGGATAAAAATAGATGCATTTTTAAAGTTAAAAACAAGGGCCGTCATACGGCACAAGTTTCGCCTTAGGAAAATACGCTTGTGATGTAAAAAACTTATTAAACCTTTCCACGAATATATGGGACACCCTCTGGATTTGTAACGATAGCCGTAGATAAGAAATAAGCGACAGAAATCCGCTGTATCAATTTTAATAATTTTGCACATAAAAGGCCGGACCAGAATTTTACTCTCCAGGCCGGACCAAGGACACATACGGCACTGGAGTACATATCCCCATTGGTTAGACAAAACGAAACATAAACGTAGGAAAAAAATTCGTTTTATATGTAAATGTATGTATTTAAGTTGGACACCAGTAATATCTTAATTTCTACAAAATTACACTCTTAGAAATTAGGTAAAGTCAAGCAGGTACAGTTTTATTTTTCCTAGTTAAAAATGAAATGGTGCAACTTTAATACCGAACTATTACTACAGGTCATTTCTTAGGAGGGGAGCTTGCGAGGTTGATAATAACAGATCTTGGTGCCCTTTGGATATGTGGTAGGGACCCATGAGTGTACTAAAACCCTGAAGTAGTTTGACTCCATGGCCACATTTGCGCCCGCCACACCCACTCAAAAATGCCCAAAAAACGCTTTCACTCGAGTTTTCACTCACTCAAATCCACGTCAAAAATCCAATTTTACTCGGATTTTGAAATTTCTTTCACCATTATACTCCCAGATAGTTGCTTTCTTCAATCCAATATCAAACTAAATTTTATTGATGATTATTTCGCAAACATAATTTGTTTTGTTGATGACTACAACAATGCTCATTCAGAATTTTAAATTTTAAAAATACTAAAAATTTCGAAAAAATTGAGTTTGATATTGGATTGAAGAAAGCAACTATCTGGGAGTATAATGGTGAAAGAAATTTCAAAATCCGAGTAAAATTGGATTTTTGGCGTGGATTTGAGTGAGTGAAAACTGGGGAGAAAGCGTTTTTTGGACATTTTTGAGTGGGTGTGGCGGGCGCAAATGTGGCCATAGAGTCAAACTACTTCAGGGTTTTAGTACACTCATGGGTCCCTACCACATATCCAAAGGGCACCAATATCTGTTATTATCAACCTCGCAAGCTCCCCTCCTTAGACATCAATAATACCACTTTGATACATATGTAGAGGCAGACATGAATTCTGTTTGAGATTAGTTTAATCCTGGATTTCTTATTTTTTCCCATCTTTCCCATTTTTGCAAAACCACTCGACAGCTTCGTCAATGCTGACTTTTCCATCCTGATTTGTATCCGCTTCCTTAACAAAAGTGGCAAACTCCACTCTCGGGTAGGACGGGTCGTGTGTGAGCAAAAATGGAAAAACTGCCTTAAATTCGGACTCATCAATAAATCCGTCGTGGTCCTTGTCGATTGCGGCGACATGGATTCGTACGAGTTCTTTCGTGTCGTTAATGACTGCGAGGGCAGAAATGCAAACTTCGTAGGTCAGTTTTCCGCTGTGCACGTCGCGAAAAAAGGCGACGTAGCCGTCCCTCTGCTCCTTCGTGCAGGTGAAGCCCAACGTGGCCAAGAAGGCGTCCATGTCTTCCACATCGATCGTGGCGTCGCGAAAAGTCGGCATGTTCTTGAAGGCGGCTTCCACCTGGGCTTTCGTCCATGGAGAGTTGTGAGCCATCTGAAAAGTAAAATTAAGGAAAACGTTTAATTGGATGAATTCAAATTCTGCGTCCCATCTTTCCCTTTTTCAATGTATTCAATTAGGACCGTTCGTCAGTTAGAACCTGTTCATCTACGCATGTTTTTCACAAAATTAGCATAAAGTGAATAATTTTTAAGTTTGCAAACTAAAGTTTTAGGTGAAATCGGCACTTTTAAAAATCCTTATTCATATACATAATTCCTGCCAAATTAAATTTGGTCACAAAGCCTAAAATTGTGTCGTTGCTCAACCTTTTTATTAGGGAAACTTCTTAATTCGCAAATTTGGCAAATATCCAAAGAGGATAAAACGCGAAGTAAAATTGGAAAGTGTAAAATTTGTTGGACGCTTTTTCTACTTTACTAAATAAGTAGCACTGCCAAACGTGACCTTCGAGGGTTCGTGGTTTTTGAAATTTTCACATTAGTTAACTTTCTGATCGATTGCCACTAATTAACTACCTTGCAAGTAACCTTTATTGACCTTTACTAACCTTTATTAACCTTTATTAATCAATAAAGGTTATGGTTTAATAACCTGGTTTAATTAACCAGATTAAATCTGGTTAATTTAAATTAGGATGCCAAATTTAATTCAAAGTCAATATCAAGGAGCCCATTCTTTAAATAATTAATATTTTCGTACTAGTTCTGCTCATCCCGTGTTTTTATTGAAATTCATACCAAGGTAAAATTTGTAACTTACCTTCCCTGATGTATTAATTAACAATTATTTATCCCTCTTACTCACAAAATTGTGTGAACTTGGAAGGTTGAGATATCCAAAAGTGTACACAACGAGGTCAACAAATGCGTTTACTGTTTTCAAAATCACGGTTAAAAGTCAAGTGTGCCAACGCACCCGGATTTCGGGGCGTTTTATAACAAAAAATCGACAGGAATCCAGACTAATAAAGTTCGTTGGAGCTTAACGAGCAGCAAGATAGACCGAAAGTTAATGATTATAATCCAATCAGTACACTGCTAAAAATCTGACAAAGTCACATATGTATGTACGCACTCTGTACTGGTATTGATCCGGTAATAAATTCCTGCAAGGCTGAGCGTAGTTTATTTCTGACATTGGAGGACTCCTAACGCACTCTTAAAAATACGGTAATAAAATAATACCAAGCGGTATTCAAATAAAAGAGTATGCATGTACATATCTGTGTACCAAAGAGATATTGATAGCGTATTACAGGGTCTTATGTAGCATATACCAAATTTCTAAGAGTCTAGTAAGCGTCCTACAGAAACGTAAAATATTTAGGTAAAAGGATAAGTTAAATAGAATTTATTCAAGTATTTGCGTAAAAGAGAGCATGACAAGATAATTGGGTTAAATTTAGAGGGTATTTACATTGACAGTTTAGCACTCTTGCGTTAATTACTGTACAATTACATAATTTACATGCATAATTACTCCACTCGAGATCCTGCCTGTTTGCTTTATGACATCGAACATTGGCCTTAGAACTTGTCCCATAATTTTTTGTCTGTTACGCGAAAGTGCCTAAATTGACGAGGGACACGATTTTGCCGAACCATGACACGTATTCAGTGGCTGCGAAAGCGTGGACTTAGGGACAATGTCCCCAAGGTTATACATTTTATGTCCCCATCATCTGCCCATGTTATACATATGTACATACAAACCCCTGTCCTCCCTTATCCTACAATATTAGCGTCCCCACAGCTTCCGCGGCCACTGCTCGTGCATATTTGAAGCCCACTTCAGTCAAGTCAAATTAGCATCAACTTGTGTGTGTCAGCTTAACTCAAGTGACTTAAAGATACCTACATATATCTACGGAGAGCCAAACTTAATTACTCATGCTACCTACTACTGCCATATATTCTGTCTCAAGCATTCCGCGCGCAAAAAACATCAGTAGCAGTTACGTTAGCCAGTTGTACTATTTTTTATTGAATTCGCCATGCAATTGTCTATCAGAAACCATCTTCCGAAATTTTTTGTGATACAAGGTGCTAAAATGACAGATCGGACAAATCGACGTGTTGCAATTTTTCAGAAACATTTTTGCAAACATAAAAATTCGGCATTTTTCAATAGATCATTAAAAATCGGAACTAATTGCAAGATGGTCGACCATACCATAAAATGATCCACTAACATTGGCAGTGTTGATAACCGAAAACCGAGTTGAAGGGAACGGTCAAAAAGGTCACAAAAAATCACGAAGGCGCACAAAACCTGAACTCGGCTGAATTCACGCCGGATCCTAAGAAAAATGTCCCTACAAATGAACGGTCCAAGTAAAACTACGTCCCAGGCCCCTAAACTCGACCTTGGACTTATGTTTTTAAGATGTGAAAAGAAACACTTGCCAACTTCACGCCAAGTAAAAATAGGACCCTTGAAAGCCGCGCACTGATCATGCGGTACGGGCTTGAAAAATGGAAATAGGTATTTTTCAAAGATAAGTAAACTTTCACAATAGAGGTCATATAAAATTAGCAAAAGCACTTTGTCCACACCCCACCAGTCCATATTATTCATAAAATTTTTTAAAATATTAGTCGGACCCACCATCCAGATTCTGTGATTTTTTTATTCGGCGTAGATTGGATTTGGTCAAAAAAGTGAATTGTCTTCCTCTGGAGGTGAAATTTCTTGTCAAAAAGTATTTTTTGAAGTTATCGAGCGAATGGAAGAACCACTGGACCACACTCTATTAAAAAATAGCTGCTAAGTATTCGAGCAGGGCTCAGGACCTGCTGATAAGGCCAAAATAGTAAAAATGGGGTAAAATTCCAAAATTTCTTACTCCATTTCGGATCAAGAATAAAATGCACTGTCGCCGAACCTCAACCTTCTGGAATACGATATGTGGTCCAAACTGAAGCTAGATACATGTGCTAAACACCACACAAGTTTGGAATCCGAGAAAAAATCTGTCGCTTAGAAATGAGACTAATATTCCTTGGAATGAGTGCGTACCGCGAGTGAGATGTGGATATCTAGACTTTGGGCTATTGTAGCTTCGAAAGGAGGAAATTTTGGAAAGTGCCCGGTATATTTTGTAGTGAATTTAATAGGCTTTCTCATGATATCGTTCGTTTTTTAAAATTCACTAAACTGAGTCCGCTACATTAATTTGTTTAGTGGTCAAAACTTATGGCAGTAGTAGGTACACTATTGATTAAACGCCTTGCATTAAATACTTACATATGTAATATCAGGCATAACGCTTGAATATCCGACGAAGTAATCTGTTAAGCACAATCGTTTAAACTCTACATACATATTTGCATACATTTTTAAGACTGCAGTTAAATGAGAAAGCATAGTAAAGTTGTGTAAAAAACGCCATTTCGCCCATTGTTTTCTCCATCTTTCTTGACAACTTTACGAGTACAATTCCCACTGATGAGCATGCATAACAATCATGTTGTACAGGCAGTAATTAAAAAATTTACGTCCCAGCTCTAATGGAGGCAATAAATCTGTCCGGAACAGAAATCAAGATCGCAGGGGTGGTATGTAAGACTTCTTTAATTTTGTTAGTGGGAACAAGCAATGCATAATGTTATTTTGCTAATTGGTTTAGAATTAACAATTTAAATATCAAATTACAAACGTGTCAAATCTTTTAGAACGAGAAAGGAGTCGGAAGCATTTCGAAATTGACCAACGATCCGACAGCAGTTAACTTTAACGCAGTTGTTCATTTAATTCTGGAGTTGCAGTTCATGATGAAATTCGAGTAAGTCCATTAATTAGTAAATTTACCGAGCTCCGAAATATGTATCTGGTGAAAATGTTTTACCGGGGTGGTGATCATAACCACTCGGTGAGACGCTGTCGCCATAATTTAACTTATATAATAATGATGATATGTAACTACACTCTTAAAAATAATGTCCCCCACTCAAAAATTAAATACAATCTGAAATTCGAAATTAACTAAACCGTACTAAATCCAGAGTAAATTTCAATCTGCATCAGGTCAAAGTTGCTCTGGATTTAATATAATTTGCTTAATATTTTAATCAAAACTGCATTTTCTTTTCGAAGAGGTAATATTATTTTTAAGAGTGGAATTATTTACAGGCTTAAAGTTATCGAGGTTACCGACTACTTTCCAGAAGCTCACGTTGCCTTCAACGTAACCAATTCCAGCCTGGCATATCAACTGATTACGGGAAATGCAGATATTGCAATTGGCTACTTGTACCAAGTCCTACCCCGGTTGCGATTTGGGAATCCAATTGTGTGTTTTTACACAGAGGAGTAAGATATATTTTAATCTCTGACGCAATTAATGCGGATCTTGGTAACATTTTAAAATCCTTAAATACTGTAAATTTACATACTTTTGGAAATGTTTCTGAGGAAAATTAGCTCACAAATTTTCATACATTGCTCAGAGCTAGGGTGTTTTTTTTATTTTGGAAAAAATTAGTTGTTTTTTGAAATCGTTTTTTGAAACGCAAGGATTTTACAAAGTTACAAATTACTGCGTATAAAATTGACTAATTTACCTCCAATTCGTCAATGTTTAGGATTTATGCTTTCTTCCGACAACCAAAAAATCTTATGGAGCATAGCAACGTTTTTACAAAACCGTTTAAGCTGGATCTCGTTCTTGGCACGGTGCTACTGTTGATTGCAATTGGAACAGTGGCAGAATTCTCAGAATTTCAGAAAGCTGGTCTCCCCCGCTTCCTGCTGAAATTCGCACGTGCTTGTGAATGGGCTGTTTCCAACGTAGCAAGACAAGGTTCGAAAAGCATACGCTACTAGAAATCTGATACAGTTGGGAGGGTATTGAATTCTCGGCACTAAACTTGCTACCGCTTAGTAATAAAATTATTCCGTAAAAATTTGCCAACGATAAAGTTTTTCTTTAATACCGAACTATTAGATAACTTCCTGTGTTACACTCTAAATAAAAATGAGTAAAATTTACTCAAGCTTTGGTAAAAAAAGAGGATGACACAACCAAAAGGTTAAATTTGTCCAAAGCTGGGCAAACATTGTCCAAAGTTGTATAAAATTTGCACAACTTTGGGTAAATTTTACTTTCTGGTTATGTTATCATCTTTTTTTTACCCAACCTTGAGTAAATTTTACTCATTTTTATTTAAATAGAGTGCACTTTTACAGATTCGTATGAATACCGCTTGGTATTAGTTTAATACTGGATATCCACGAGGTTAGATGGATTTACGAATTGGTTGTAGTTTGTCAAATTTGCGTTTCCAGGCTACCCCCAGGACTGGACTAGGCGGCGGGATTACGTCAAGTGTATCCTGTTTATGGGAATGCTGTTATCATTTGCGTTAAATTCGTATTATTCTGCCGCAATTCTTTCCTACTTCAGAACGGATGAGGAAATAATTCGCAAGTTTTCGCAACTTGTTCCAGCCCGGTTCAGTATTGACGCCTTCACCAGTATCAAATCCGCATTTCCCAGCGATTCTGAAAATGTTGAGTTACACTGCTAATTTCATTAACCTTTCTCGCGATGATTGGTCACTGAATTCGTCAAAAGTGACATGGTTTAATCTTTCTCTGCACTGTGATCTTATATTAAAATTCTGGACGACAAATTTGTAGCCAGTAAATTGATCAATAGAGTTTTTTTAGGGCAATTTAGAGGAGTTCCAATTTTTCTGAAGTATTTCATAAGTTACAGATTTCCATCAAAAACTGTCAAAATCCGAACTGTACAATTTTAAAAAAATGTGAACGATCTGCTCCACAAGTTAGTGTCCATAATTTTAAATTGAATTCCCAAAGCTGAAAAATGATTAAAAATATGCTGAATTTTGACGATGTTGGCGATGAGTCGTCAAGTC